GATCAAATCAACTCGGAAGCAGAATTGTATTTGCTTAGTATGTAACCATTTCAGAAAGCTTCATTCAATTGTTAAAATCAATGCTGAAAGACAGTAGTTATTTTGAAGAATATAGACGTATTAAATGTTTATAAGTGCATAATTGATATTCACTCAACATAAGTTAAGGATCAGTTAGAGAGAGAAAAGGTTTTATGTTTTGTTTTGTTTTAACATTTCGTAAATTTGTGTGAAAAAAAGTATTTTACATTGTGAGTATTTGTTTTTTATTATTTTTAATCCCATAATGTATTTCTTGTTAACTTGTATGTATGACTTAAGTCTCTATACCACGACCGCAACACCTCTGCACACCTTTCTTTGGGGTAGCTCGAAAGACACTGGTGGATAACTTTCCCGAGGACATATCTAGATATATCAAACTTAATTTTTTTTTTTTAAATAAAATCATTATCATTTACTCTAAAAGTAGGATTATTATATAAAATCCACATTATAAACTTTTGACAAAAATTGAATTTTTCTGTTTGTATCATAAATTCCCATTCAACACTGTCAAAAGCTTTTTCAAAATCCAAAATTAGTAGTAGCCCAATCTTCTCATGATTTTCACAATAATCAAATATATCTTGAATATGACGAGCATTATTACCTATATATATCGGCCTTTGATATAATTATGCTGACTGGTCTTCATTTTTTTTATTTAAAAATAACTTCTTGTATTCTTCTATGTCAGATATGATTAAATGTTGCATATTATGCATGTTTCATGTCTGCATGTTAGAGCAAAGAGGATAATTTTGAATTAGGCAGTGTTCTCCACATCTGAAATTTTTAACCATGGATGATGATGCTCAAAGTGAAATGCGACCGAAAGCACAAATGGGTGTTCGAGCTTTCAAACTTCTAGACCTCACTTAATCGATGGATGATTTCACAATTATTTTTTTATTTACCATGGCAAAATCACAAGTTGAAATGAAAAATCAATTTACAGAATTTTATAGCTTAATGTAATCTACAGATGTACCAAGTTTTATTCAAATCGGATCAAAACTGTACGAGAATGTGCGTTTTGAAAGAATGTCACCGAATCGTTTTAGTAACCATGACAACATTTTTTGTTGAATTTAATTTTTTAAAAAACGGCACATTTAATTAATGTTGCTTTTTGTATGACAGGTTTCTTGAAATTGGGCCAAAAATATTAAAGGAATTGCATTTCTAAGAAAACAAACAAACAAACAGAATGGCGGATTCCGACATCTCAACGTTGCCTAAACTTTCACTCATTATCTTTGGAAACTTAGGCTAAACAAAAAAAATACGCGTGGTTCTGGTTACACGTCCAAAATAATTAGGGTAGGTAGGAAGGGGATTTTTTTTTAACAAAATGATTTTCTAAATTTTTCTAAATAATTCCTATCACTGCTTTGCAAGTGGCATTTAGATGTGGCTTGATAATATACTAGTCAACATTGGTAGGGGCACTCTAGTTATGAATATCAAACGAATATTTTTAAATCAAAAATAATGAAAACACATTAAAAATGATTTTTTTTTTTTTTGGTTAAAAGTTAGATGTGAACATCCTTTAAAATAAATTTTAATAAATTTAGAACAATAAAATAGAAAACGGACATAGAGTACTGCTAAGAGCTGTCAGAGGAAAGTGACACTTGTACTTTGTACTGTAATGTTTAAAACAAAATAAACCACATAAGCAAGGTAACATATAGAATCATTCATGTGTGTGAGAATTATAAATATTTAATACGAGGGTTGTCCCAAAATTCCGTAGACAACCTTCGTTTTGTAGTAACCCAGTGTCATAAATTTATGAAACTTTGAAAATAAATAAAAGTACTAAATACTAATATTTTAGTGTAAAACATTGGATAATTACTCAGATTTATGCTATTTACATGAAAATTTCAATGTCTGGTGTAGAGAGGCGGCGCAGTCCCAAAATTTGCTATTAAGAATCGGTATATGAAATTTAAGATATCGCATAAAAGTAATTTCTAGTCAAAATTTTATCAAATTAAAATGATAGTTTCTCAAATGAAATAAACAACTACCTTTATTCCAATTTTATCGCAAATGCCTTCAGTAATAAGAATTTTATAACGTTTATTTGCACTGGTTTGACACTTGACTATTTTAAAAAAAAATAACGCTGCATTGACAGAGGCGGCGCACTGGAATATGAAAAATTGTAGTTCGGAACTTAAATTCACTCCAACAGAGACGCATTCGAAGACACAATTGTAAGGATGGAACTGATAAATATATTCAAATCCGTAGTGTTTGAATGATATAAGCAGTTTTTCAAGGTATATGTGAAAGAGAAGAAAAGACGGACACCAGCCGAAAGAAGTATTACATAAATCGTCGTCAAAGCAACACAGTGTAACTCCATTCGGAAGGACGGATAAAAAGTCCCTCAGAGATGCAGGAGAATATTATGAAATATAAGTGGATGCATGTAATTTTAACATTTTTTCGGTATATTTTAATGTTAAATATATCATAATAATTATTATAATTATTATTTAAAACTTCAACCTTTTTTGATAAAGTAGAACATGCTATTCTGATAAGTGCATTTCTCCAAAAAAATCCGTACTGTTGACATTTACGTATATTTTGACGTCGGGGATTGCGCCGGGTTGTAGGACACGGTAACATTAAAATTCTAATTACTCGTACGTTCTTCAAGTAATCATATTAAAACTTCGTTATACATCAGCTAAAAGCACACTTTATACACTCACAAAATAATATAAAGATACGTTAATTTTTGCAATAGATATGAGCTCAGTCTACGGAATTTTGGGACAACCCTCGTATATGTTAAAATTTTAAATTCTTATAATGAAAAACTTTTTGCCTCATTGAAGACTTCATACTTCCAATTTCATTTCTCATATATATATGTATATATTCGTACTTTGTAAGTTGACTTTACTCAAGTAAAATCTGCAGTCTTGCTTGTCACTTTTCCTTATCAACTGTTTTTTTTCTACTTTCGGTTTAAAAGAAACGATCCTGATATAAATTATTTATTATTAAATCAACAAGTTAATCTGTTTTACATATTGAGCTAATTCTTGCGTAATCAATGCAATCAAATGATGCTTTCTCATGTTATCTTCCCCCTAACTCCCAAAGGCATGTTACCCGGCCAGCTGTCTGTGTGCGTTCAAGCGAGAAGTGATTTCTCATCCTGACTTCACACCTTTGCGTGCACTAAATAAACAAAGGGGGTAATCGGCATGTGCTGGTTAAACTGAACAACTATTTAGAGAATCCCGCCACTGTAAGGCATACTTATTTAATTCTGGCTAGCAAAACAAAAGCAAAAACAAAACGAAACCAAAAAAAAAACATGAAAATGAAAAAAGGCATGTTGCCGTGCCATGCTAGCTTGCTGTAGATTTAACACTATTAAACACTTGCACTACGTGTTGAAACGATGTTTTGAAGGGAGGCCGCCATTGCTGAAACTAATACCGGAACTGGTGACATCAGAGAAAATTCCGGAAAAATACGAAAATGTAAAATAGGAACCGTTGGGTAATCGGAACCACACTTTTTTTTTATTTGGCCCTACTGAGAGTATAGATATCAAAACCTAATATAAAAAGAGGCATAAATCAAGTATAACTAATTTCGCTCTTTTCTGTTTGTCCGATCTTTCTTATGCACATATGGTCTTAACAATGCTTAAAATAGCATCACGCGACCTTTTTTTTAAAAGATGTAACTCTTAAACTTTTACTTGGGTGATTGACATTATATTAGAACATGGATCTGTTCGGATGCTATTTGATTATAAGACATTGTTAATGCGCTTAATATTATATTTTTTTTTATAGCAAATTACATGTAGTATACAGAAAGAATAACTTCTGTGTAGAGATATCTACTCATATTGATAATCAGCTCATTGATTCACTCTCTAAGCCAATTTGCCAATCAACGACTATGTTTATTAAGCACAATTTTCTCTCTCTCAAAAGGGAGGTGGAAGCTACGTAGTATAAACACAGTAACTTACTCAAGTCTTTAGAAAGTAGGCATCACTACTGAAATGGCTTATGCAATAATAATTAAATCATGGAGGCCTCAGATTTTGACCATAGCGCAGTTTGTTAAAACATGGCTCACATAAATTTAAACATGGCGGGCCGCCATGGTGAAACACTTGTGAAGAACCCCGATTCGTCACACAATTGAAAAGGATAAAAAAAAAAAATACAATCGCTCTGAGCATGATTCTAGTTGCGATTCAAATAAAAAAAAAAATTGTTCGAGCTTGGATACAAAGTTCTTTTTATTTCATTTTTGAAGTTATCATAAGACTTAATAGCCCATAAGTTGTTCTCTCCATGATTCAAGCTTTACAGTTCATGAAAATGAACTCTTTTGTTTGCTTTCCCTATTTTCTTTATTTTATTGACACAGCATGTTAAAATTGCTGATGTTAGGTTTATTTTATCGACCTATGCCTTCCTTCATTTGATTATAGATGAAACAGCATGACAACGTGTAAAAAAAAAAAAAGAGCAAGGTCTATTCCCAACGTCAATCACAAGTGTTTACTATAACTTGATCTTATCACTGTTTACATTCTAAAACTTTACGAACAGGTATTTCCGGGGAAATCGTCCACCTGAGCTCCAGACCCCACCAGAGCGCTGCTCTGGATTATTTTGGGGCCTATGTAACGTTTTTTCCCAGTTCAACACAGACACCTGATGTTATTTATTATTCTTAAAATAAATACCCCTTGCTAAATACACCTGACGTTAGTATTTTTCTTATAATAAAAAAAATTATTCCCTACCGAGAATTAAGGAAGGGGTATATTTTTTTTCCATTTTAAGGAAAATAAATAACTTCAGGCTCCAGTACAATTCATTTACTGTGTTTTCAGTTTTTAAACTCGGGATTGAAGTTCAAACAAATGCACTTTAACTTCCGCGGCAACTATGGAGAGCTCTGTGATGAAAAATCTTGGCAAAGACTCTTCTGCGTATTTTGCAACGTTTGGATTTGTTGTTGCTTCATATGTAGCATTGAAAGTCGCTTTTAATATAATCAAAATCTTGAAATTTCTTGTTTTTGCTGGTTCAACAAATTTCAAAAAACTAGGATCATGGGCAGGTAACAATACTTGTATAAACTCTATTGTACTATATTTATTGACCCAATTCTCAGACATTTACAACTTTCTTTAAGCTATTTAGAAGTACTTAAACTTTAAACTTACACTTTTAAGCAACTATTTTGAATGAAAGCGCATATGTCATTCTATTGATATCGTCTTTTATCATGAGTGCTGGGTTTTTTTTTTTTTTCTAAATGACATTCAAGGTTAAAATGATAGAGAGATCCAGTGACCTCTCCCGGTAGACACAACTTTATTAACTGCTCTCTACGTGTTGAATTAAATTTTCTACCTCAGAGGGCATTACGTAATATTTATCAGGTCTATCATTTATACAGGTGATAGAAATTCCCTCATTCTAAGACGTAGTCAACAAATTTATTTTGTGTGTATAATTAAGTTTTATATTTAAGTATGGTAAATTAACAGTTTAAATCATTGGTATCCTTTCTGTTGCCATTTTGATTACACATATTTAGGTTGTAACACACATTATATTTTATTATGAGCATGTATTGTCACTAGGGGATAATATTGAAGATAATTTTACAGTGAAAGACTAGTAATAGTAATATCAATAGAGTTAAAATTATCTAAGGCGAGCGAGAAGCCGTCTTAAAATGGTATGTAATAAAAATACAATTGTGTGTTTGTTGTTTAAAGTCCCTCTCAAGAATTTTTCACTCATATGGACACGCCACCACTTGACGGTGGAGAACTAAAAATTTATACCTATACTCGGCACTCAGGGCCATTGAGCAGTGAGGGATCTTTCTCATGCTAACACTACTGCGACATTGGACCTCGGTTTATACGGTCTCATCCGAAAAAATACGATTGAAACTTAATCTCTGTTTTTAAATCGATGCATTAGAATGGACTCTGAATATTGAATGGATTCTGAAGTATTTATATTTTTTGTTTCACTGACAAATTTAGGTCAATGGAAGCCAGTATTGATGTTATGGAAAGCAGGTTTCAGTCAAAAAGCACCTCCTGCAACTATTACTATACCTTACAATTTGTTACATTGAATCAAGAAGCAAATCTTTATAAGTTAAATGATTTTGACCTGAGTTATCTTGATACTATAAGCAGCTCACTAACAGTTCTAAGTAGATGTTGATTGCATTTAACAAGATATTTGAAATTCCACACCCAAATAATGCTTGATGCACAGAGAAAGTTGATTGGAATAAACTACAATTAAACCCAGAGGAGGACTCTGGCAAAAAGATTAGGACTGTCCTTGACTTAGTCTGAAAACGCAGGGGTTTTTTTTCAGTTAAATCAAATAAAGGAAGCATGAATGTCATTTCAGAAAAATACAATAGACCAGACAACAGTTAAATACATGTAAAAAGAAATTAGAGATGCTATGAGTAAACTGTTCTTTTGCATGATCTTGTTTACTAAGAATTTAAGAAAAGAAATACAAAACTCAAGGTCTGAGCCGTATTGATAGATCAGCTGGCAAATTACAAAGAACTACACATGCAGTTGTCTGTTGAATATGAACTTTGCAATTTTTCGATCAAAACTCTGGAATGAATAAAAATGTACATGTAGTCAAACAAAAAAAATATATGGAAGAGTGTAGTTAAATTCGGATTACTGAATAATTGTTTGGAGATTATTGCATTATCAAATCAAAAGCTATGGTTGATTACACCAAACATCCAATGAGTTTTCTTGTGGTTTAAGATCTTTAATACATTGTTTGTATGTTGTTTAACGTCCCTCTCGAGAATTTTTCACTCATACGGAGACGCCACCACTTGCCGGTGGAGAGCTGCAAATTTTGTCCTATGCTCGGCACTTACGGCCATTGAGCAGTGAGGGATCGATCTTTTTCGTGCCAACACCTACTGCGACACGGGACCTCGGTTTATACGGTCTCACCCGAAGGACCGGTCTCCACGTCCCACAGTGGGATTCGAACCCGCGACGTAAGGATCAACTCCTTACTTCGCGACTCTAGAACAAACGCTCTAACCACTGCGCCACGCGTAGAAAAGATCATAATCTCACTTCCTAGGGAGTTAAGAACAGCAAATTATCAAAGATACCAGCAATAAAAGCCTCGTGGAAGCAGGCAGTTATATAGATAAGGAATTTATCCAAATCGATACAAATGCCTGAACCAGTGAATAAGGTGGGGACAGCTTACATTGAATATTGGAAATACTTAACTGGTGAAAACATTTATTTGAAACTGATTTTTTTAAAGAATACAACGTTGATTATTTTTTGACAGAGACCTAAACAATCTTTTTAAAATTTAGTGATAAAAAGCAGAATTTGTTTTCTGAGAGTGAACATGAAGTCCAAAAGAAAGTATATGCATACAAGTGAAAATGGAAATTAACATCAAAAATCAATCAAACGATGTATTTTTAGTTCTAAATAAATATTGAACTTGACCACCGATAAAAATATTAGGAAAATCACTTTAGTCATTTTAATCGAATGTTTCAACCCTAGATATTCATAAAAACATTGATGCCTATCATCTTGTTTGATTTTAGGGCAATTAAAAGCGTTGTTACTCCATTCTGTTGACAAGAAGAATACGGAAATGGCAAACCAGCCTTTCAATATCGTTGCAATGACAATGTGGATATTGTGGGGAATCCTTTTATAGTCAGCTCTATAGCAATGTAAATGTGGTGGAACGCTTTAGCAATACACAAAGATGGGAACATAGTCCTGGGCATCGTTCGATCAATGAACCAAATATACAGTTCTTATTTGATTCACTTATACTGGGTTCCCAAACTTAATAAAAATCCTTACAACAAAGATATATTGCCAGGTCCAGTAAATGCTCTGCCAAGCCCCTACTCTGTCTGTAATGGATCTGTAATGGATAAACTTCAGACGTTCTATGCTACAGCATATTCTAGAAGTTGATTCTCAAAAAACTCCAAAAGACTTTTAGAAAATTTAAAATCACCAAATTTTTTTACAGTCAATAACACCAAAACGTACGACATTTCTACAATCAATACAACCATTCCTAAAAACAAATTAAAAAGTAGATTTTCTTGATATCATAGACAACTGTTACTTCAATTAAAATAGAACTCGGAATTTTTTGTATCTTGCAACTGATCATCAAAAAAATATTTTAAAAAATCACTTTGATTCTACACAATAGTACTCTGAAGTTGATATTGAAAGAATGCTGGAGTTCCTCATTGACAACATTTATGTAGTCTTTGGATACCAGGTCTTCCAACAAAACTGTTAGAATTTCGATGGTCACTAACTTTGCACCTTTATTGGCCGACATGTTTTTATATTCCTATGAAACAGAAGTTATTCAAAAACTTATACATAAGAAGAAGAAAACACTTGCTGTGGCATTCAACTAGGTATTATCATATATCGATTACGTTTTATCAATTAACAATAGTTACTTCCATTCATATGGCGACATCAATATATCCCATGTCCCAGTGCACTTGAAATAAGACACCACAGAGTCTGCCACATCTGTGTCATATTTGGATGTTTTACTGACTATAGACAAGGGCAAACTAACAACTAAATTGTGTGACAAACGAGATGACTTCAGCTTTTCAATCGTCAATTTTCCATATTTAATATGTAGTTTTATTCCGCTATCATCTCATAACTTAATTATTCGATACTCAAGATCATGCTCTGAGAACGTTGAGTTTTTAAACCGAGATAGGCTACTGACATAAGTTGATGGTACAGGGATTTCAAAAACTTCGTTTCAAGTCAGCATTTCGTAAATTCTACGATCGTAAGAATGACCTTGTTAACAAAAACGTGTTTAAGCTATCATTGGGTCATATTTTGACTGACGTGTTTCATACCAATTTTTAGGCCTTTGTTTTTGTACTAAATTTGATTACGGAATGTTCAGTCTGATCAGAACATAAGGCTCACGGCGGATGTGATCGGTCAAAAGGGGATGCTTACTCCTCCTCGGCACCTGATCCCACCTCTTGAATTTCCGGGGGTTCGAGTTTTATGCCCTGCTCGCAGATTTGTATTGTTTGTAATTTTTTTAGAACGATGTTGTTCGTTGTCTTCACCTTTTCATTCACTCCTTCCATAAGTTAATAAACATTGAGGTTTACATCACTTTTGCAAACTCTGTTCCTTTGAAAGTTCTAGATGATTTACTTGATAGGGCTATAACAAGGGGGTTCGAGTTTTATGCCCTGCTCGCAGATTTGTATTGTTTGTAATTTTTTTAGAACGATGTTGTTCGTTGTCTTCACCTTTTCATTCACTCCTTCCATTAGTTAATAAACATTGAGGTTTACATCACTTTTGCAAACTCTGTTCCTTTGAAAGTTCTAGATGATTTACTTGATAGGGCTATAACAAGGTCTATGCTTGGATTCTTCAACATTCTTCAAAACCAAAATACAGACCTAAATATGTGCTTATGCAGGCCTCTAAGTGACCTCTATAATTTAGGCACCATCTGGCTCCTAATCAAAACAATTAAGTCGCCAATGCAAATTTTTAATCGCCAGGCAAATTTTCCTTAGGCGCCAATTCGAAAACTGACATTTGTCAATATACCCTTACATAACTTTAAGGCTTCTTTTCTCCTCTTTAGAAAAAAAAAATATAGAGAAATATTTACAGTTCCGGAATTTGACGATCGCCAAGTCAATTTGAAATGGTCGCCAATTTGGCGACTTGCAGAAAAAATTTAGGCGCCAATCAAAAGGTTTAAGCGCCATGACGACTAAATTAGTCGCCAATTAGAGCCCTGTTATGGATGTTACCCATCACAGGCTTTTTAAGCCAAAATTTTTAACGGAAAAGAATAATTTGGAAGTAAAGAATCCCTTTGGTTCTTAAGCTTAAATTTGCCAAACAAAGGAATTTGAAGCTATATTGGTAAAACATAGCACCAATTTTAATATTATAAAAAGATACAGTCTTACATTCTACTATTACTTTTTTTTCAAGTTTGAGTGTACGCCCAGCATTTCTTTCACTGTTGCTCTTAAAAATTGAGGACCTCAGATCATTCAATTTAAAGGATCAAAGATTTAAGAGAGGCATAATTTCACTTTTTTGAGTTCTGTCCAAGGTTTTGCCAGATAATGGGTATATTATTTATAGTTAATTGACTGAATATCTGGAAATATGCCAGCCAGAGGTCTTTGTGCAGTAGAGCAAATCGAGCTTGTGATATTGGAATCTGCGCAAAGACCGAGGGGCGGGCGTATCCCGATATCCAGTCAATGACCCTTGTATTTCATATTTAAAAGCTTAACTAGTGCATCTTGTTGATTCACATGAACGAAAGCTCTCTGAATTTCTGGTCATAAACATCCCTTTAACATTATTAGCTGACAGTTCAACGGATATTTGTGGCGTCAAATGTACATGTATGTGATGTCCTTTTTCTAGAATGAAGAGATGAGAAAATATATTGTGACGTCATAGCCATAAAAGTAGTCCCAGGCATTTACAGTGCGGGCCAGTATGGCTCTGTAAATGCCAAGAATCTCTATGTACATTCTATTGACAAACATATTCAGATATTTAATATAATAATATATATAGTATTTTTATGCAATATAATGGGAGTGTTAAAGTAGAAGACATTGGCATTTTTATCAGAAGTAATTGAAAGTATAAAATTGATATTAAAAGGTGTGTTGGAAAAATGCGTATCGTATATCCTTTTTTCTTAAGTAATTCAAAAGTTAGATAGTTAACATGCTGACTATGATTGTATTAGTTCCAGATGATGAAGCATATGAAAACATAGTCGTAAATTGTAAGGCTCCTTTTATTACAAAAACATTTAAGAGAAACCTAATTTTAAATTCTACAGCAGATAATCAAATTGTCAATTGCAGTTCCCTCTCAAAAGGAAGAGATTCTTCAAATCTTACCAGTTTCAATTATTTTCAATGTTTCTCTAAAATTGAATTTGTTTTACTAATCAACGCTATGGATGGAATGACATCTAAATCTTGAAATAAAGGATAAATTTAGAAAACGCGTTTTCAAAAGAATATGATTATACTTGCAAAACATATTCCTGGTGTTGAAAATGTACAAGCTATAATTAAAATTATCTGTCAACATAATTTTAATATAAAAAACATTGGAATTTGAAACCTGTATTGGAATCATATATGCCTTTAGTTTTCTTACCTGACAGTAACCTATTTGCCTCTAGATTAAATGCATAGGTAGGCAATATACATTTGATTCAGATATCTCTGAAATCGTTGCTTTACTTTGTTAAACAAACATTCGTTCTTATGTATTTTCTCGTCTCTGGCACAAGTTATGAAAAAAAAACATTCATACTCTGATATTTATTCAAGTAAAGCTAAATATATGTCTATGTATGCAAACGTTGTGTATGCTTTCAGTGCAATAGATTACTATTCAGTTTTAATACTAAAAATTAGTTTTGAAAAAAAAAAGTGGCACCGTAAAATAAAGTGTTCAATGACATTATGAACTGTTAATTAATTTAACATTTTTTTTCATTGCTTTTGAGCTGATTACTCTTGCTCTTTTTCTTCTTCTCTTTAAATTTTTCTCTACATTTTCTGTTTCCTCATTCAGGTGTACAATAGATAAGGTATTGAACCATACCTCACAGAGAAACATGTTTTCATGAATTTTCTAAAGTTGCTGCAGTCCTTCAGTCTAATTACAAATTGATAGGACTGAATTTGAAACGCCGGTATTTAAAATAAATTCAAATGTTGGACAGTAAGACCGATTGTGAGATTATTTTTGACGGACCCTGTTATTTGTCAGTAAGGAACATACGATGTAAATTGCGGCAAGGATAGATGGACAAATTATATATATATATATATATATATATATATATATATATATATATATATATATATATATATATATATATATATATATATATATATATATATATATATATATTAGGGATGTCAACGAGTACCCGGTTAACCGGGTACTCGATCGAACGTCCGAGTATCGAATACTAAAAATGGTAATCGGTTACTCGGATGTGTATTTTTTCTTATTTTAAAGTACATATTTTTATCAAAAACTTATCAAAAAAATAACTTAAATATGCATACGGGTAATTAGCGGGTCGCCATCTTCACATGTAAACACCCGTTATCGCCTATGGCTGTGTATATACAGTAATTAGTGACCAATCACCTGGTACACAGCTGTTCTCACCTATTGTGGTCCTTAATTTTTTGATGGCTTCAATGATCGTTTTTCATTGAACATTGTTTAATATGGTCTATTATCTTCAAATCATTTTATAAATTATTTAGTCAGCGAAATTTGACGTGCATAAAAATGCCGCTACAGGTATCCACTTCAAAATAAGTAAAGATTTTTTAAAAAAAGAATGTTTAAAGTCAGTTACCATAGCAGGTTTAGTGTATACGGGGGAAACAACCAACATATGAAAAAATATTAGACTAGCGATCCAAACAAAGTCCGTTCCTTCTCTTTCGCTAGTCTAATCATCACAAACCTGCTTAACAGATTGACCTCCTTTTGATGAAATAGATCCTAAACAAGAACTGTAAACCATTTGTAATTTTCTGATGTATTACTTATGTCATTTGTGTTTATTTAATAATTAAATTTAGTACCAAAAATAATTTCTGTTGGACTCCATGTTTATATACATTCATAAAACTTGATAAAAACAGCTTTGGGGTTAAAAAAAATAACAATTAAAAATTAACAAACTTGTACTTACATTTTTACCGAGTACCCGGGTACTCGATCGGAAAAACGTCCGAGTAACCGATTATCAAAAATTGACCGATTTGACATCCCTAATATATATATATATATATATATATATATATATATATATATATATATATATATATATATATATATATATATATATATATATATATATATATATATATATATATATATATATGATATGTAGACTAGTAAATTCCTAGAAGAGCATGGTAAATCTTAATTCAAAATGGGTAAATATTGTAGATAAGTTGTATAGCTGTATTAAATGTTTACCTTTTACAGAACTATTGAATTCTCTTTTCTTTTCAGTTGTCACAGGTTCCTCAGATGGTATTGGAAAAGCTTATGCAAAAGAGGTATGTAATTCTTTTAATTAAAGGTCATCATATTTTCCATCCTTTTCTAAATACCACTAAACAATTTATTTTTACTTCTACTGATAAAAAGAGTTCTATGGAATGTTTTAGTTTAAACTGTCCCTATGTTTTTAAACATTTCTTTCAACATGCTTCCTCTCCTGTAGTTGATAAAATGTAACTACATTGTTCATGAGGACCAGGAAAATCTCAATACAATTGACTTCGTCAAGAAACACATAAAAAATCTGATCACTACTATTTGAATTCAATTTAGTGACCTTTTACTCAAGGCAAAATATTGAATAATACTTAATATTTGCTTCTTAATATTTGCTTCTTCAAAATAAAATCTGTTCAGTTTTATATTTTAATCAAGATATTTTTGTTGAATTTCATTATAATCAACTGTATTGTAGCAGCTGTCAGACGGAAAAACTGAAATATTTAAAATCACTTCAATTGCTCTCATAAGTTGCTGTAGTTAATGAAAGCAAAATCGTAGAACTCTAAGAGAATTATTTCAAGTCTAAGTGCAACTTTCTCGAGAATGCTAAAATTCAAACCTATAGGGGTAACATTTCTTTCGAGATTTCTGGTTATATTTTGAAATGAATCAAATATGCATGCATTTTCTGATATAGTTATCAGATTGCTACTCGAATACAATTTCTCAATATTGAAAAGAACTGTTTTCGTGTGATACATTCTGATTGAGTATACAACATGCTATAAAACACACAGAACTGTCAAATGCGTTTTAAAATAGTGTAAATGAAAATTTGGTAACAATAATTGGTAACAATAATTCTATTAAAGTATAAATACATTTACTTTCATTTAAAATTGATAATAAGTAATGTTAATCATTTCCATTTTTAGCTAGCTAAAAGGGGAGTAAATATTGTTTTAATAAGTCGCTCAGAAGCAAAACTACAGGAGGTTGCCAATGAAATAGGTAATGATGCTTTGTGAATCAAAATGAATTATTTATCATGATACGTTCATCATCAATGGCATGTAACAAATACGGTACACAGTATTTTGTACTTTGCTTTCCAGAAAAAGAGAGCAAAGTTCAAACTAGAATTGTTGTGGCTGACTTTAGTAAAGGTCTGGAGTTGTATGATTCCATCAGGGACCAGTTAGCCGGCCTGGAGATTGGAACACTGGGTAAAAGGATTAAAATTGTTATTTACAGTATCTCCTGTCATATACTTCTTTAAATGGTGACCTTACCTATCCTTCAAAACAGTTATTTTTCTTGGAAAGTAATATTACAATAAATTTTGTTTACTAATCTCATATCTTTTACAAAAATAACATATCTCTATTAAAATTGTCTGACTGGATAAACCTGTGTTGTTGGTTTATAAATTACGATGTTTCATCATAATTACTTGAAAACAAATTAATTAGAATTGCAGTGTTAATGTTTTCTAACACCTAGAGCAATCTCCCACTTGAAAAATAATTTAACGTCACCGGTTCGGATTCTCAATTCAGCTGTCATTTTCCATCTAATCAGATTTAAAACCTGTACATATCAAACGTTATAAAATGCATATTGTTCAAAGTATATATAACACAATTGGTGGAAAGGTAGTTAACAATGCAATATTAAAAATTTCTATTTCTATTTCCGATAATCTATAATAATCTTTCACAAAAAATCTTGGGTTTTGCGTAAGATTTTAACTTAAAAATCTCTTACGATAAATCTTCAGTGCTTTTCACTGCTTTTCACAAGTTCAATTAAACGTTTACTTTGGTTATTGTGGATATATGTTTACAATTAAATTGATTTTCAAATACATAAGAGAGGGTTTTGGCTCTCGTGAAGTTACGACAAATTTTACACGTAAGAATCTCGTAAGAATTTTTGGGAAAAAGGAATAGACTCGTAAGATTTCTCTTACGATGGAAATTTATCTTAAGATTTTTGGTGAATAGGGCTGCTGAATAGTAAATGCTCTTTCCTATGATTTTAAATATCATACTTTTTTAATTGCAATTTTGGGTACTGCGCCGCCTTATTACACCAGCCAAAAGTAGGTTTCATTTGTGTAGGTACTCAATATAATGTTTGTCCATAAATTTATTAGATATTGTTGGATTTATCTATGTACAAAGTTTCATTAAATTATGACACCGGATTCCTACAAAACTACGCTTGTCTACGGAAATTTGGGACAACCCTAGTATAACAGGGAAGTTAATTAAATCTGAACAACACCACATACATTTTTAAAAGAAGTTCATATCTTTCTTTCAATTCATATAAAGTATTCTATTCACTAACGAACATAAGGAACGATTACTTTATCTATTGCATCTTGTTGTCACTCTTAAGTATTTGGAATAAAGCTAATGACATTTTGATTGATTTTCATCGAAATTGAGAATTCAACATTGACACTTCATGCATCTCACACCATTCAAAGCTAACTGCCTGAAATCTTATTGTATAATATTGTTCATCAGAATTCAAGGTAATTTAAATTAGATGCTAGTATTTAGTTTCAACCTATTGCTTTGCTTGTCTTTTTCATTTTTTTTTAGGAATTGTTTCAATAAATACTCAACAATTTGGCATTTGTAATATAGCCAAAATGCTATAAAATGCAGCTCTTGCTCTTTTAAATAAACATTTCTTTATCCATCTCATAGCACAAGACTGGTTATATTTATATGAAATTGAATATCACACTCATATATCTTGAAATCTTGTTCAATTTACTTTCAAGTAAATAGATTATACTGCCTAGCTTGATGCAAAATCTTGTTTGTTAATATAATAGTTTACTTTCTTTTAAATCATAAATGAAACACTATGTGATAAATGTAATATTATTCATCATAATCTTTTTAAATTGCAGTTAACAATGTAGGGATGAATTATCCATTTCCAAGCTACTTTTTGGATGTAGCTGATAGAGAAGAGGTATGGGAAAACAAAAATATTTTTTTCTATGTTGGAAACTATAGAATTAAAATCTCAGACTGTTTGTTATTTTTAAGCTGCATTTAGACAGCAGTTGTTTCAAATTAGGGTCCCCTTTAATGGGCGCCATATGGTTATCAGTCATTCCGCACATTTTCCCCATTATTTATTACTTGCTCTGTACTCATTTCTCCATATTGGCCCAATCTTTATCACCTTTCGCCAACAGAGTCCCCCTGGGCGAAGGATGATCAGTGATTTTGATCCAGGTTTTATGTGAATTTAAATGTCGAAGGTTAAACAAAGTCTCTCTGTAAATCCTTCTCTGGAGCTTTTTTTTTTTTTTTTTTTTTTTTGCTATAACATTCTAACATCCCCAAAGTATATCCATGATAAAAGGGTGTACACTGACTTTGGTGCAATTTCCTAAATTAAACGTCACGGTCAAAACAATTACTTGTGTAAAACCTTGTCTGGAGCGGTTTTTCCTGATCCATACCCTTCTCGCTTGTAGCTTAGAGAATATCCATGGTAAAATGTGTTGTGATCTTCATAAAAATTTCTAGGTCAGAAATCATGGTCAAAGGCAGTTTTTTGTGTGAAATATTTGTCTGGATTTAATTTCTTTGTTGCGTGTCTGCGCTTTATGTCTCTTATTTTCACTCATATTGGGGCGATACCAATTGCCGTTTGAAAGCGGCAAATTTAGACAAGTAGTAAGTAGACATGGTCATTCAGCAGTAATCGATGAGAGCTCTTTGTCGTACCAGCGTCTTCTAAGATCCAGGACGTCGTTTTATACGGTTTTATCAAAACACCGATCTCCACGTCGCGCAATGGATTCGAACCGTGAAGTAGGGATCAACTCCTTACTCTCCTACTCTAGCAACTGTGCCATGCGGGCGACAATATTTGTCTAAATTATAAATTTTCTGCCCTTTGACCAGTTTTGCTTATACTCCAAAGTAACCTGTTGAAGAACATGTTTCATTTTTCCCTTCTCTCAATCTACCTCATACTTAAGAGAACCCTCCGAGTTAAGGAACTGAAGTGTTTTCAAGTCAAGTTTTAAAGTCGCTAAAGGTTTAAGGAATCCTTTTTTTAAATACCCTTGTTTGAGGTATGTAATGCTTACCCTTAAATAAGTTTGACACACCATACCCACAGAGTATCAAGGAACAATTGTGTGCATTATTTGTAACAAGTCAAAGGTCAAGGTTTTGAAAACTTAAAGATGTTGTGATTAATTTTAGCACCATTAACTCAATATGATTAAATTTGAAAAAAAAATCTTCTTAGTTTTTTGGGTTTTTTTTTTTAATCCTTACGAAAAAAGAACAAGTAGCAAAATCTACACCATACAAAAGATAAAAGGAAAATTGAACACAAAAAGTTCTACACAAATTACATGTCTACTTCGCGCTTTTGGCCTCTACATTTTATTTGAAATAGTCTCTATCTCCATAATAACTAGTTTTGTTTGTCAATGTATCCAGTGATGTTAAACATTATTCATCTTATCAAAATTGACGTTCTTATATATTTTTCTTCCAGTTTTTTATGAAATTGATCAACGTAAATGTAACATCTGTAACCATGGTAAGTTTTATTGTCCTCCAAAACACATTCACGATCTCATAAAACATATCTAAATGCTTAATCCCCTGCCTTTTTACTCTTTTGAAAGTTTTTTCCTGTTACTTAATGCAGATGACCAGCATTGTGATGCCTGCAATGGTGGAGAGGAAAAAAGGCGCAGTCATCAACATCTCCTCCGCTGGAGGACTGCACCCTTTCCCTCTGATAACTGTGTACTCCGCCTCTAAGGTACGTTATCTATAATTTTCTGTCTGTCGTAAGCTGTGTAGCTAGGCCCTTTTCTGTATTCCGTCTGTCCGACACGTGACCTATAATAATTAGTATCTCCTCAGCTGTAAAATTATGACCCTTTCCTCTGTCTACTATGTACTCAGCCTGTTAGCCACGTGTTCGATTATTATGAGTCTGTCTTCGCTGCAAGAATGAACCCCATTTTTCTGCTCACCTTGGACTCCCCTTTAAGGTCCATGACCTATGAATATCAGTATGCCCTTAGTTTTGAAATTAAACCCTTTTCCTCTACGGTGTATTCCGCCTGCAAGGTAAGTAGATCATAATTATCAGTCTGTCCTCAACGGTGGGTCTGGACCCTTCCCCTCTGTTCACCACTTATTCTACCTGTAATATCCTCTTTGTAATATGAAGATAACGAATAGAAATCAAGTTCAAAAGTCCATTGGACAATATAAATTTGATGCAGAGCAAACACGGACTTCTAAAAAAAATATAAGAGGTGAGATCAGTTGCCATGGAAAAGTAAGCATCCCCTGTCGACTGGTCACACGCGCTGTCATGGTCGTACAAACGGAAAAATCCGTAGACAATTCAGTGTGAAAATAATGGCCTAACAAATTGTATGAAAAATGTCAGTCAACATTTGATAGATTGTATTTACTAACAAGGTCATTGTATCGGCCATAGAATTTGCGAAATATTGACTTGAAAGGGGACTCTTGAAATCCTCGTATCGTCAACTTATTTGTCAATAGTTTGCCTCGTTTTAGAATTTGTTCGTACGTAAAGCATACCCTTGCGTATCGAATCAATTGAGAGACATAAACTCCATATGCAGGTGATAAAGGTATATTGCTACAAAAAATATGGTAAGTTGACGATAATGAAAAGTTGAAATCACATTTATTATAAATGTTGTTGTAAGGTTACCATTAATGACTTTTTCTAGTAAAATATCCAAATATGAAACAGGTGTGTCAAACTCTGTGGTGTCGTTTATTTTGAATTCAAAGGGATATATCTAATCAACTTGACATTTTATTCAAAAATGAATAAAACGTCGTTGAGTCGTTGATATTTAAATGTCGAATTTAAGGCCATGTCAAGGAATTCTTCTTTTCACGTAGAAGTTTTTCAATACATTCTGCTGCTTAATAACACAAACATAGTTCTGCGAATAACAATGTGCAATTAGTACCAATGGGAATTCTAACAAATTATTGGAAGATTTGATCTCCAAAAACTAGATAGACATTATTTATATTAATTTTTCAAATAATGACATTATTTTTATCCCTCAGAAGTCCCAAATTCTGTACATGAAAATTTTTATCTTTTAATAGAGAGTTAGGTTTTTCATTGAGATATTCTGAATGAAAATTTGGCCTTGGCAGTCAATCCAAACATTTAAGAGTTTGTTCTTCAAGAACCGTCTTGATTAATTTTAAATCATAATATATTTTACAAAAAAAAATTATGTATCCTCTCCGATATTTTTTAATGGCTATTGCATTTGATTTAAGTGTTGTTTAATTGATTTTCTGATGAATAGTCACGATTATAAATATTATTTTGACTAGTAAATGAACTTTGTAATGTATGATCTGCACTTCTGCTGACTTTGCAACAATTTACTTTTTCAGGCTTATGTGACATTTTTCTCCCGGTGTATACAATCTGAATATAAATCGAAGGGAATTATTTGTCAGGTACGCACAGGTTTTAAATTATATGTTGTCCATCAAGCTCAGAAAACACAGTTATTTTTAAAAGATATTTTTCCAATGTACAGATTTTTTTTAAAGTAAATGTATTTAATTACAGGTCAACCTTATGATATATATTTTTTCACTTATGAAGTGGAAAAATCTGTATTTGTAATATAGGAGTTTTAAGTTCCGAAGCTGTAGGGTAGGATTTCCCCATAGCCAGCTTCCCCCCCCCCCCGGGACTCTAGAACCATATTTGTTTCTCAAAGTAGGATATCCCCTCTTTTATCAATGGTTAAATCATATCAACAATATTTTGGCAATAAGTTAATATGAAAGTCAACTGATTTTTAATGGAAATATGAGTGCTTTCGACTCAAGAATTGTCGAATTTAGCATAAAATCTTAAAATATCAAGTTCAAATCATCGCGTCCTAACCCAAAATTTTAACTCAAAGGAAACTGTAAAATTAGTCACTCAAAAAATTGTACGATTCGATGTCTCAACACCCTCTCTCGGCGCAGCGGTACCTGCTTCTTCACGAATATTAAAATGTATTTCAGGCCACCTTTAGTAATTTGATAATTGGTTTGCCATCTAAAGGCCTTGCATTTCATCTATGGATCGGTCCTTTTTACAAAGAGTGTGCGAGAAAAAAATAATTAATAGGTTCCACATGCCATTTTTGTGAGTATTTGAGTCAAGTAGTTCTTCAAAGGGAAAACATTTTTAAAAAAGCCAAAATGAAATGTGAAGATAACGAACAGTTTTCAATCTCGAAAGTCCAATGAAACGATACAAATTTGGAGCAGAGCAAACACGGACCTCAAAATTTAGAAGTGGGATTAGGTGCCATGGAGGAGTGAGCATCCCCTGCCGACCGGTCACACCCGCCGTGTGCTCCTTGTCATGATCGGGAAAAAAATCCGGAAAATCCGTAGACGGTTCAGTGTATAAATAATGGCCTAACAATTAGTATGAAAAACGTCAGTCACTATTTGACTCAATGATAGGTTCTTTGTATCGACCGTAAAACTAGCACACTCTTTGTTTAGGCATGCCATATGGTGGGATTCATATTTTTTACAATTCCGATGTCAACTTCCTGTTTATCCGTGCGTCTGTCCGTACCATACATAACAAATTTTGGTAGCAGTTTTCTCAGCAAACTCATCGCAGATACTTGAAATTTTAGTACACCCTTTGTTTAGGCATGCCGTATGGTGGGATTCATTTTTGTACGAATCTGATGTCAATTTCCTGTTTTTCCATGCATCTGTCCGTACCATACATTACAAATTTTGGTCGCAGTTTTCTCAGCAACTTCTAATCGCAGATGCTTAAAATTTTATCACACTCTTTGTTTAGGCATGCTATATGTTGAGATTCATTTTTGTGCAAATCCGATGTCAATTTCCTGATCATCACTGTGTCTGTCCATAACTGAACGTGTGTATTCACATCAGAGAGGGGGTATTATTAGTGAGCACTGGCTCACAGACTTCTTGTTTTTTTAAATAAATGACCCATTTTTTAATTCCATGGCAACGATACCTATTTTGGATATTTAAACACCAGAATCTTGGAAAGACACTTGCAAATCAATATTATGTAGTTTGTAATACAATTGAAGATTAAAAACCATTTCAAATAAAATTCCTTTTTGTTTCCATGGATACAGTTAAAAATTTGTCCAAATGATTACAGTGTACCATTTTTTCAGAAACTAGTTTGACCTAATCAAAAAAATAAGATTTAAATACTTCAAAAGAGTTGTTTGGATGGTTACTGAGAAAAATGATATTTAATAAATTTCAATTTTCATATTTCGTATATTTCAATGGAATTGGTCGCCCTTTCGAAGAAGGGACAGTTGTAACAATATGTTCCCCCCCCCCTTGGGGCATAGCCAAGATATTTTATTGGGGGGAAATTGGCTCTGGGAGAGATCGCACTCTATAACTATTACACAGAGTAGGACCCCCCCCCCCCGAAAAATTAAATCTGAAGTGGGATCCTACTCTTAGGTCATTTTTTCCGTGGGGCGAAAATCCTACTCTAGAGCATATTTTCCGGGGGGAAATTCTACTCTAGAGCCAATTTGCTGGAGGGAAAGATTTTTTAGATTTGTATCTGCTTACATTCTTGAATCTAGAATTTGTCCCAAACTAAAAGATTTGGGATTTTTTAGTGGTATCATTTCTTTGAATTCTTTTTTCTTTTTTGAAAATAGAAACACAAGGATGAAAACATACTATAGTATCCCATTCCTGTCCTGCTTTATACAATTAACTGCACTAAAATATTGCTGTTGATCCAGATCAACCTGCAAATACATTGACAGTACAAATCTTTACAGTGTGTAATGCCATATACTGTTGTAACAAATATGACCATGCCATTTCTTGTTACAACAAAGAGGTCCGAGAAAGGGAAACCTTCCTTACTTAAACCAAGTCCTACCACCTATGCGAAAGCTGCCCTGGATTCCGTTGGGGTATCAGATTTTACCCATGGCTACTGGGCACATAATGTTCAGGTGTGTATTGTGTCTGTAGAATACGATTTTTACATACCTCAGTACAACTACATTTAATTTTGTAAGGCTAATCATGAAATATCAAAACCTCAAGTCAGAATTTGCATTTAGCACTGAAGTGTGAAACATTCAAAAATAAAATTTGCTAGTTTGCAGTGCAGTGAAGTATAATTCTGAGTTTCAGTATACAGCAAGTAGACATCTGAAAAATAATTGAAATAAGACTTAAAAGTCTATAAGTCTGATTTATGACCATATTACGATTTTATCTAAACATTCAGTAAGAGATATTTGAAATGTTTTCCATTCCTGTATGTGTTTTTACAGGGCACAGTAATTGGCATGTTACCGGAAGGATACATAAAAATGATGACGATGAGCCTGGGGGAAAAAATCAGAAAAATAAATTTAGAAAAGATGTCTAAGAAAAAGGAATAATGTTGATCAAGTCAACTTGGATGCAAATAAGCTTAGTTTTGTGTGACGATTTCAGAAAGCTTCATTCAATCGTTAAAATCAATGCTTAAAGACAGTATTAATTTCGAAGAATATACACATATTGAATATTCATCAATGCATAATTAATATACACTCAAAACGATAAGTAATGGGTCAGTTAGAGAGAAAATGGTTTTTTAACATTTTGTAAATTTGTATGAAAAAAGGTATTTTAAGTTGTTTTTTTTAATCCCTCAACGTATTCCCTGTTAACCCTTATACATGACTTGAGGTCTCTGTACCACGACCGCAACACCTAAGCATACTCTTGTTTGCGGTAGCTCAAAAGACACTGATGGATAGCACTCCCCAGGACAGATCTAAATTTGTTGCGTCTTCCTTTAATGGTTTTCCTGTTGTTGTTGTTGTTGTTTTTTTTGTTTTTTTAATAAAAATGTGTCACAATGACGGAGATCTACCGAAATACAGGGGATGCCTGAGCTCTATAAACGTTCCTTTCTTCAGAATTTCCTTTACTTCTCTATGTTTATTTGCAGCAGACTTGTCAGGTACAAGAAAGTCATCCTGGGGATCGTTATTTGGACTTTCATTACAGAAAACCTGCTCAACATTCTCCTCTACATACTCCTCAGTACAAATTATAACATAAAAGCTACCATCAATGGTTCTTCTTTTGGGTATACAGACGTGTGCCATAATTCAACGGCAAAAATCCAAATGTAAACAATAAACATAAAATAAGTAAAAAAAAATAACTTACCTATGTTTAATATTTTGTCATTTCACCTTTGACCCTCAAAACTTTCCTCATGCGTCTCGGCAGGGAATCATATATCCCCTGTAAGTATTTCCATAGGGAGATTTTGTCATATGTCTACGATAGCCCTGGAAAGTTCATCGGGGGTAGTGATATTTTCCACACAATGTTGCAATCTCTGTTTAAGTTTTAGCCACTCATTCTCAATAATATTTAAATCAGGTGACTGTGCAGGCCAGCTGATACAATTAATATTGTTCCTTGCTTTGTAATTTTCGACATCTTGGGCTCGGTGGATCGGGGCATTATCGTCTTGAAATAAAAAGTTTTGGTTCGGAAAATGTGTAGCTATAACGGGCCACAAGTTGTCCTCAAGGATATCTATATACTTGTGTCTATTCACAGTTCCATTTATGGCTGTAATTGTACCACACCGTAATATGTTATACATCCCCAAATCATAACCGAGATTCTTCGTTGGGACGGGGGGGGGGGGGGGGACACAATCGGGGACTCCGCTTCATCCTTTCGGTGCCATATATAGAACCTACTGTTTTGACCCAAAACAACTTGACTTTTATCAGAGAAAATTACTCTATCCCACTGACCATTCACACGCCAATAAACCCAGGTAGCACAAAACGTTTTCATAACATTTTTTTCCCGTTGTATTGATGTTATCTGAAAACGTTTTTAATAAAACGTTTATAAAATGTTTTTAAAATGTTTTATTTTGGTTGTAAAGACGTTATTAAAAACGTTCTTACCAATCAATTTAAAAATGTTTTTCATAACATTTTTTTCCTGTTGCAAGGAGGTTTTCAGAAAACATTTAGCATTTAACATTAATCTTTATAATGATAGAATATCGCGCAGCTATAAATTGAATAGCATGATTAAAAAAAAACCTTGTGTAATACTTATTATAAATACAAAATGAATATGAAATACAAATGTTACCAGACAACATGAATACAACATTGTCTTAAAATGTTTGCAAAACATTGTAAAAATGTTACAGAAATACCAACTCCAAGCACCAGAAGTTTCTAATTATTTAGTGTAAGACGTTACATGTATATGAATAAAACTTCTGTTATAAATAGGTCCAAAGTTTGAGTTATGATTGATTTTGAGTTGTGATAATTAAATTTAGACCCCAAAAATTAAAACAACAACAACAACAACATGGAAATGTGTTCATATTTTTCTGTTATACCATTTTAAAAAATATTTATATATAACAAGGAGAGTAAAAAAATTTCCAAAAAATTATTTGTTCAACAAAGTTCCTGAATTAAATAATTCAGTGGAGTCATTTATTTGTGCTATGGGAATTAAGTTCCCCCTTCAATAATGTGTTTATCGAGAGTTAATCGAGTGACACAGCGGGATGCCATGGCCAGTGCTGATGCAGCCGATCCTTGTTGCAAACTATTTCCATGTGATCTATATAGGTCAACAGAATCACAGTTTTGAAAAACCCGGCAGCATTCTTGTAAGACAACGAAAAGGAATAGGGGAATATCTTACAAATGTCAACATACGGTATGTTAAATTTTAAATAGTATTCATTGTGTATATTTAGCAATCATATTGTAGCTGTAAGTACATATGCATTTAGAATCTTAGATCTTTCATTCTCATAGACTTAGGTGTATATGTGTTTATAAAGTTCATCGGCATTTGAATTAGGCGGGCGATTTGTTGTTTGAAAACTTGGGTTTATTTACATGTATTAAAATTGTTTGACGGGTTTCAAAACATAATTAAAACATAGTTGGGTATAGGAATGGGTGTGGGAGGGGGTCTTAACAAGACAGGGTTAAATAATTATTAAGAGGTGGATTCGTTAGACTTTTCCGAATTTGAGTTATGTATTACAGAATATAATGCCACGTACGTTAAACCTGTTTTCTTTTGGAAGGGAAAGGAGAGGAATTAATTAATCAATCTCAGGCTTGAATATATATTTGCTAGCAATCAAATTTTGAAATACACATTCTTCATGATAAAATATAACACTCATTTTAGTGAATGCAGTGGTTTCAATGCAGGGCGGAGATATGCAGGACAATGATGCAAACAAATTCCATGGGTCAGTTCACTGAGACTGGACAGAGGGTTGAAAAGTGCACCCCTTTAAAGAATTATTAAGAGTAAGTTTTATCACTATTAATGCTAAGAAAATGCATTAAGATTCAGTTAACATTTCAACATATAAATCATGTTAAAATATCAACTTATAAATCATTGGAAAATGTATACAGCAAAAGGAAAATGATCTAAGTACTAGTAATGCTGTGTTGTTTTCATTTAACTAATAAAGATAGGCGTCGGAACCAGCTACGCCCCCTCCCCCCAACTTTTTTGCAAAGATAGACTTAATAGAGTTAGTGAAAATTCGGGTTTACCCCCCCCCCCAACGTTTTTGTTGGTTTAGCCTCCCCACCCCACCCCCACTTTTAAATTGCTTCCGATGCCTTTGTTAAATATGTTTATACATTATCTTATTTACATTTCTTATAATGAATTTCACATTACATTTTAGTAGCTGCTGCTTACAAGGCTTACAAAGCATCAAAGACAATCTCTAACGATTTAATGAGAGGTTGGACGAAGAGGTTTGATCCATACGTTCCTGGAGGAATTATTAAATATGATGGGGTACGTTTGAAGTTGGTTGTCAGAAATATACAGATATATTGCCACCTGTAAATTTTTGTTTATTAATACAACTGTATAACAAAACATACTTTCTCTGTGTTTATCAGATTTTTATATACTAGTATGTGTAGTTAGTTGTCAGATGCCCTATAACATGGATATGTTTAACTTTAAAGAAATTTACGAGTATGAATGGGTAATCATTTAGTCAAAGTTTTATGTCCAAATCTTTGTTTTTCAGAAGAAAACAGAGAAGTCCAAGTGTATAACAGATTAATTTCTAATGGAATTAGGATGCTGTGATCTTTTCGTATTTCAAACAGTACAAATTTCATTTGAAGGAAGACTGTAATTTTATTGTGCAGGTGTTTAAAAAACAGTGTTTAGACAACATTAATGAATGGATTTTTTATTAAATTATAAGAAATATATATTGTTTATTATGTTGTAAAATTGATTTTTTTAAATGTTTTAAAAACGTTTTAAGAAATGTTCTCAAAACGTTTTTAAAAATGTTTTCCAAACGTTTTTAAAAATGTTTTTAAAACATTTCAGTACAATGTTTTTGCAAAACGTTATAATAACGTTTAAAAAACCACACAAAATAACGTTGTAATAACGTTTTAGAAAATGTTTTCATAACATTTTCATAACGTTTTTATAACGTTTTAATATCGTTGTTGTGCTAACTGGGAAGTTATTCTCGACACCATGCTAACCGCTTTTTACGATTCACCTCTTTCACACGGACTTTCTTTTTTAATATGCGTCTATGGTAACCTTCCCGGTAAAGACATCTTTGGACAGTTCTTTTAGACACTTCCCGAGGCCTAAAGGTATTAAACTGGGTGGTAATTTATTTCAGTGGAGTTTTCCTGTTGGTCCGAGCAAGCCGAACAAGCGAACGACTATCCCTCACTGACAATAAACGCGGACGTCCAGTTTGAGGCAAATTCTCTACTACACCTCTTTGTTTAAAACGAGAGATAACTCCTGTGACAGTTCCTCTGGGAATGTTCAAATCATCAGCAATCTGTTGTAATTTATATCCCTTTTCTCGCATATCTACGATGACATTTTTAATGTTATTGACAAATGTTTACGGTTTTCAGCCATCATGATGATTAAATACACTATGTAAAAATTTCCAGAGGTAGACGACAACAAAACATCCGGTTAAAATTTAAAAACGGAAGTAAGAATAACCAGGAGCTAAAAATAGATATGTGTTTTCCCCAAGAATATAATGTATATCGAGCTTGTTTACATTACGCTTCACGCTTGAGCGACGCCATCTTGGATTTTTGCCGTTAAATTATGGCACACGTCTGTAGGTGCATCTATTAATGGACTTCTCGAGTAAAAAGGAAACCTGTATTGAAAAAGACCTCTTTGGAGTTCTGGCTTCTATTTGCAATAGTAGGACGACAGATTCCTGTCTGATTCCATATTTTGGGCTATAAAAAGTGCACCCATGTTTCCGTCACCTATCATCATGGTGTATCATACCTTCTTCTGTTAAAATGTTGCGTACCTGAGATTCAGTTATGCAAGATACGTAATTAATTTAGTCCTAACCTATGTTTTCTGATATATAAATTCTAGCCTGAGAACTGCCAAAAAATCATCCATGTTCAAATTATGAACATCTTGCAAAATGTTAGTTATGCACGTTTTAACCCATGCAGCGGAACAATATCTAGTGACTTCTGTTCAGAGTAAAGCATTCCAAGTCTATGAACCACTTTGAATTAGAGATTAGCAAACACTGTCCCTAGAAGAACTAGAATTTTATTTCTACGGCAAATCTATTTCATATTTTCTCTATATGGTCTGATTGTTTGCGCCTGAAAAATGTCAAAGAATTATTGAGCTTTCAAATGATTAATTAATGACATTCATCAATTTAGTTATTTATCATGAAATCAAATTTAAAAACCAAAGTAAATGTTCATCTATTTACAGACTACGAATTATGCTTTGGAAAGTTTGGTAGTGACGTCGAGTTAGTATTGATCTAGAGATTTGGCAACATATGAAAAAATTATTGCGTAGGCTCACAAATTTTCAAGAGCTTCAGCATGTTCAGAGGGGAATCATATTTCACAACCAAATAACTATGAATTTTTTTGTTGCAAGCAATAGTGTGTGATATTCCAATCCGATCCTCCTCTTTTTACAAACTAACGGCTGTGACTTTGAATTTTGCATACACACCTATACTTTTTCATTTTGAAATTTAATTAAAATTAAAAGTAAGACATCCGGAGGACAAAATAACGTGAAACAATAACAATATGTCACGGAAAAAAATTCAACTAGAAAGCGCTCAGAAATTACTTACTTCCATACCTCATCTAACTGCCTCTAAGTGGCAAAGATATCCATGCCATTTTCCTAAATCAGAAAACCTCCCTAATTTGAACCTAGTCCCACCACCTTTGTGAAATCTGCCCTGAATTCTGTTGGAGTATCAGATTTTACCCATGGCTACTGGGCGCATAATCAGGTCTGTAGTCTATCCTTGATGTCATTTTACACATCTCATCGGTTAAATTACAGATAATTTGGAAAGGCTAGCAATGACATCTGATCTTGTGTTCATGAAAATCAAAGCCTTAAAGTCATAATTTGCATATTGATATTACACTGTAATAGTATAGTAGTCGAACAGTCAAAAATGAAATTAATGCTAGTTTGTATATATCACCTACGTGCACTAATTCAATTTTGAATTTTAATTTACAGTAAATAAGTATTGGACCATGGTTAAAATTTTGATTTCAGAGTCTTTGAATCTGTTTCTTTGTCCTTGGGTCTGATTCAGTTAATCTGAACATTCAGCAATAAATTCAGCAATACGTGCATGTAATTAACTGACATGTTTTCCAGCCTGAGGTTTTATAGGGCAAGTAGCATGTGTATTACCAGAAGGAATTAGAAAAATGATAACCATAGGCGTTCTGAAAAAAGCCACACAAAAAATTTAAAAGAGATGTCAAACAAGAAGGAATTAGATTAATCAAGTCAACGAATATACAAACTAAGAGTTGCTAAGATTTTATCATGTTTATATTTCAATTACAGCAGCATGAACAGCTAGGCTTCATCTAATTTTTTTTTCAATGGTCTCTATATGTACATTTTTATGTTTTAGATGTTTAGAGATCTATCATCAATATATGTATAAAAGTGCTAGTGATACATGTTACACTCTGTAATCTCAAATTCTTTTTTAGGGACTCCTATTTACCAGTAAATTCTATACACAGAAATTCAAAAATGATTTGCATATTATCTGTAGATATTTCATATTTATATATAATTTTGTTTCATTAGGTTTCATTTGAGTCCAAATTAAAACTTTGTCAGAGGAAACAATCAAAACTTTTATATACAAGTAAGGAAGATTTTGTAAAATTATATTCAATTTACGATGAAAATGCTACAAAAAGAACTACATATATGTGAATCAAAATTATATATAGATTCATGTTAGAAGAAATTGCACCAATCGCACCACGTACCCATGCATACTTATCGCATTAGCGAATACAAACGGTTGTACATAATGAACATTTTATGAGGTTAAATTACATCATTAAAAATTAGTTATTTTAATATTTCTTTTATGTATATATGTGTCTTTTTTGCTTTCTTGACCCATTTTTACGAGCTGAATCACTGTAAAGGGATTTCCTATCACTGACTTAAGTTCAATTTCTTCCTGAGTCTTAAATTTAATTGTGTTTCAATATGCATAATTTGTCAAAATACAATCATATTAAACAGAATAATAACAATATTGTTTTTATTAATATATCAGTTTTTATTGTAGCATAATCGTGAAAATATATCTTTTTTTTTCTCAAAATGTGTATCAATCTGCTTAAGAATATAGATCCAAGAAAAATATTTCTTTAATGTTCATACAGCTGAAAATAGTATATTATTGTCAATATATAGCATAGAACATTTTCAGTTATGGTTCTTCATAATCATAAACGTTTTGTTGGTTGGAAAAAGAACTCTTCTTTTTATTAAATTTGATGTAACATTTTAAAATATTCGCGCTTTCATCGCTTATATGCAAATGAGTTCAGATTACACAACTGTAACAGGCATATCAGAAAACTTCTTTTACTGTAGATGCATACATCGTAGTTTAAAATAATAGACAGCATGCAGTACGGCATTTACAATTAAACACAAATATCTATTTAAAAAATCATTCAGACATACAAGTGTGGTGTCGATAAGAAAAATTAGTATCAGTACTTTCATTACTTTGATTATATGATGTGAATTCTGTGTGTACTTAATTTTTTGTTTGATCAATTATATTTTAGTTGACATAATAAACTGAAGTTGAAAAAAGAAGAAAAACACATGTCCTCTTAGAAGGGTATTACTTTAATATGCAAAAGAAATAGTCAGGTTTTAAATGACTTGGCCTTGTGATCCTGGCCCCAAGACCATAAACTGAGAATAGACTTAAGTCAAAATTTCAAATCAGTGTAACTTTTGAAATAAATTTCAAAATGAAACAAAATTTTCAAGTTATATTTGTATCAAAATATTTAACAAACTTGCAAGTTTTTAAGCAAGTTCGTTAAATAATAATGAAAATATTCAAAATCTAATTTTTGACTTAAGTCTATTCTCAATTTATGGCCTTGGGGCCTGGAATTCTGGAATCAACCTGCTATGCAACATGAATACATCAGAAAATGCCCTAGTTATAAAAGAAAAAGTTTGCCCTCAGGCTCAAGTGAGCTTTTCTGATCGAAATTTGTCCGTTGTCTGTTGTTGTCATCGTCGTTGTAAACTTTTCACAATTTCATCTTCTTCTCCAGAACCACTGGGCCAATTTCAACCAAACTTGGCACAAAGTATCCTTGGGTAAAGGGGATTCAAGTTTGTTCAAATTAAGGGTCACGCCCTCTTTTAAGGAGAGATAATTACAAAATAATGAAAATTTAATGGCATCTTTCAAAAATCTTCTCATGAACCACTAGCCCAGGAAAGATGAAACTTATGTGGAATCATCCTCAGGTAGTGTAGATTCAAGTTTGTTCAAATCATGACCCCCGAGGGTAGGGTGGGGCCACATTGGACGAGCAAATTTTTACATAGGAAGATATAGTAAAAATCTTAAAAAGTCTTCTTCTCAAGAACAGCAAAGCTACGATTTGTCATATTTATATGGAAGCATCCTCAGGTAGTGTTAATTCAAGTTTGTTCAAATCATTACCTCTGGGGGTAGGGTGGGACCACAATGGACGAGCAAAGTTTTACATAGGTATTTAGGAAAAATTTTCTTCTCATGAATGGCAAAGCCATGATTGGTCATTATCTATTTGGAAGCATCCTCAGTTAGTGTAGGTTCCAGTATGTCAAAATCATGACACCCCCCCCCCGGGGGGGGGGGGCACAATGGATGAGCAAAGTTATACATAGGAATATATATAGGAACTTTTTTAAAAATCTACTTCTTAAGAACAGCAGTTCATGATTAGCTATATCGAAGCATCCTCAAGTAGTGTAGATTCACATTTGTTCAAATCATGACCCCTGGGGATAGGATTGGACCACAATGAAAGTTCAAACTTATAGGAAAAAAGCCACAGTTCAGGAAAGAAATGTGTAAGCATCCTTAGTGTAGATTCAAGTTTGTTCAATCATACCCCCTTTTTTAGGGGTATGTCGGGGCCACTTATGCATTTATACTTTTTACTGAACTAATTTCTGCTCAGTTTTTTCCTAGCCACAGCGCTCAGGTGAGCGATGTGGCCCATGGGTCTCTTGTTTGTTTTTAATTTGGAAAAACAATATTGCAATATTTACTAAAATAGGATAATATTGGAATTCGTTCAAAACGTTACTCCTCCTTTTTTTCCTGAATTGAATAAAACTTGGTAAAAAAAATAATAAACTAATTTTACTATTATTCTTATTGATTGGTGTTTCGATTGCTTTGAAGTTTCAATTCAAGGTGCCATTTTATTTTTCTCTTTCTTATTACAAGTACAAACCATTAGACCTACAGTCTATTCACATACACGTTTGGCTTGTCCACTAATATGGTCTGGCGTTTCTCAAACATTCTGTTTCATATATAAAAAGAATAAGTTTTGAAATTAGCTACATCTTACAAAGCTAGTGATATTCATATTTTATTCAATTCTTGATTTACATGAAATGCAAAGAAAGAAAACAGTAATACAGCTCAAAATACATAAAAAAAAATACAAGGTAAACAAAGACTCATGGATTTGGGAAATGAAAATCAAAGAATGTCAACCACAACCCCAAAAAACTGACTTTATAACCCCTAACAATTTTAAAGTTAAGAGATTAAGTTTTTTAATCTCTAATAGACTGTGTTTTATTTTTTTCTAATTCATATAAGCTATTGTATTTGCAATATCCTCAGGATCAGATCTTATTACAATAACTGTTTGAACCTGTCCTGATGTATACATTTGCCTGTGGAGACGAACTACCGTAGTGAATTTATTGGAAAGTCTCAATAGAAGTAGCTAGGGTTACAATTAGTGTGAAAATATTTAATTAAGATTTTAATTTTAAAGAAAAAAGATAGGAGCCTTTTACATTTAAAAGGAGAACATTGTAATTCTTATTATTTTGAAAAGTACAGTGTTAATAATGAATAGCTGTTACATTTATTTTTTTGATATGTACATATTTAAATAATCATATTTTTTAAATATCACTATCACATTTTAATCAATAAATTTATTGTAAACAAGCATTCTGAGAGTATTGCATTAGCAATACTAGTCCCCTACCGGCAAGTGTAATCTGGTTCCCATTAAGAATTGAAAATGCCATAATTCCGTCAAAAATTAATGAAGCGGGACGAAATGCAAACTTGATCTATAACTAATCAAGGTAAAGCCACATACCAAAAATCAGCTCAATATCTGAAAGCGTTTAGAAGAAAATTGCGGAAAACCCCTAAAAATTGAAAAGGCCGTAATTCCGTCAAAAATCAGTGAAGCGGAACGAAATGCAAACTTGATCTGTAACTCATCAAGATACACTCACATACCAAAAATCAGCTCAATATCTGCAAGCGTTTAGGAGAAAAGTGCGGAAAACCAAGTGGGACAGACTGACAGACAGACAGAGGGACAGACAGACAGACGGACAGACAGACAGACAGACAGACGGACGGACAGACGGACGGACAGACTCAGAGGAAACCTATAGTCCCCTCCGGTTTCACCGGTAGGGGACTAATAAATGTGGGTTTTGGCTCTCTCAAAATTACAATAATTACACATGAATAATATATCAAAGAAAATATACATGCATCACTCTATGGAATCCAGATATATAGTCATGTTCTTCACTATATATCGCACAATCGCCCATCGACTATTGGGTCGATGGGAGATGATGCAATGACGATATCACCATGGTGTGATAACGATAGAGCGATGGTAATGATGCAATGACACGACAATACGATGACGATATGATGGTGCGATCGCACGATGGGACGATATAGGGAGTATCCCTTCATCGCGCCAATGTTGTTATCGCTATCGTATCACGATCCATCGTGTCACTGCACCATCACCATTGCAATATCGCGCCATTGGCCTCACCTTAGCTAGATGATGTGATAGTGAAAAACGTGGCCCTGTCAGGATTCCATAATATTACTTGTAAATATATAAATGAAATTAAAGAAATAAAATATACAACACATACAAAACGTAACAAGCAATCTAAATAAATAATTATTTGTGACCTGACTGAAAAAATATCTTTGAAATACCCTTTTGATAAATACTAACTTAAGAACTGCTTAAAAATCAACGAAGTGTTATTTAAAATGTTATTTAATGCACTTTTTAACCCACGCAGCAGAACAATAAGCTGGTGATTTCTGCTCAAAGTAAAACATTCCAAGCTTATGGACCGCTTTGAAGTACAGATTAGCAGTCAAAGAACATGCCCCTCGAACAAGCAGATTTTTGATTGTTTTGCAGGCCTGTTTCATATTCTCTCTGAATTGTTTGTCACAAAACCTCCTCGTCTTTTGAAAGTTTGAATGTTGTGCCTGAAAAAAAAGTTTTATATAGGCCAAAGTTTTTTTTTCAATTGGTTTACGATTCCGCCGACCCTAATTTTCACCAATCATGAAAATAAAAATAATGTCTTTTTCCGAAATATTTTTCCGGATTTTTCTCAGCTAAACTGGTGGGTTTTAAATTTTAGAATGCATCTTAGTCAAATAAGCGCTTATAAATATATGAGCCCTTTAGCAAACATTTAGGTGACCGTAAATAAACACATGTGCAAACCAAAAATGGCGGTTCTGTCATGTAACAAGGTAATTCCTCACTGAAAGCAATGACACACACTTAAAGAACTTTTTTCTGCATGGAAAAGTGAATAAAATCTTGGATGCATGATCCCTTTCTCTAACTGCGATGTCTCAATTGGCTAAATTCATACCGTAATATTGGAGCCCAACCCTGATCGACCTAGCAGACACGGATACACCTATAGATAAAAGGGATTTATCAGTGCCTTCTCATGGGCCGAAATTCGTCCTCATTCCCAATTGAAAATGAGTTCAGTTTTTCCAATTTGGCAGTATTTTTCCCAATTGGTGAACAATGCTTTTATTTTTAATTATCTTTGGAAAAAAGTAAAATTGTCAGATTGTCTGTAATTTTCATCTATTTAACTCATTTAGCAAAGCTACAGTCATAACACATGTTTAAAAACACTGAAAAAACATCGCCAACTTTTAATCCGAATTTCCTCCGTTTTTCTAAAAATGATGATATTGTGTAATTATATAGATTTATTAAGCTATTTCCACCTACTCTATTGATCTGCAAGTGAAGAGGACTTTTAGAAAATGTGTACTTAGTATAATTTTTGCAGGAGGTTTATAATCTCCAGAAACAGATACTATAATGACCTAAATTGAAATCTCATACACACATGTACATGTACTACCCTAAGTTGTAAAAATACTTTATACTCATTGAAGTCCATTTTACCTTTATTAGTCTATTATTCATAATTGATCTTGTATCATGGTATGATGAAGATGGATCATATTTAATTGTCATTTGGTTGCCCAAATTAGAGTTCATGCTGAAATGTTAAATGAATTACCCCTGAATACATGATTTAAGCAACATTTTAAAAAATTTTCCAATTTCATCAAATAGCCGATAATTGTTCCCAATTCCCTAAAAATGATGTTTCCCAAAATCATAGGCTGATAAATCCATGGATAATAGTGAAGCCAATTTAGTGTTGAGAGATACATCTTAGTTGAAGTAAAGCTGACTGGTATTTCACTGGATAAATTCAAATGTGTATAAAACATTTTGTTAATTTATAGAAGTAATTTTAATATACAAATCTTTGCAAATTTGATACTCAATTGAGATCAGAGCCCTCTGAATTACTATAAAGTAAATAATGAGCATTGCCTACTGTGCAGGTACATAACAAAATTTGAAGAAGGACTTGATTGAGAAATTATTGGAACATTAAATTTGATAGCTGCATGATCAAATTATTATAACTTTTATTTCAACGTTAATTACTTTCAATATTGTTAAACAATTAAATTGTATTTTTCTTCAATCTAAATTTAACTTAAATTTGGATCCTTATTTTTAGTTTGTGGGGATACTGAGGTTTATAACACATCACATATCACTGAAGAGCACAAAAAGAAGTTGAACATCATGAACCAAGCACTGATTGATAAACAAAAATCAGAACTAAATGAAAATGACATTCAGTCTAAAGTTAGAAATGAATTAAAATTAAATAAAAAGAGTTATGTGATCTAGACAATAGAACTTAAAAGTACTATTGACATGTATTATTTTCATTAAAATAAACATTACTGGTATTTTAAAATGAAATTGTTGAATCCTAAATTATTTTTATTTTTATTTTTCGACCACCCAATGCATTTTTTGGAGACAGAAAATCGTAAACCAAAAAAAATAAAAACTTTGGCCATATATATATAGGTGGACAGAAGAACATCCAACCATTGGTGAAAAAACTAAATTCTTTTACGTTTGCTGGATTAGAGATAACAAGTATTTCCATTAAACGTCAGCAATGGGGTTTATGGAAGTTTATACTACATGTAGTAATTGATATTCAGAAGCACTAAATCTTATACGTAAAGCAACATAGAGAACATTTTTTTTAACGTTTAGTCGTTCAATTGATAAAATCTCCCCGTAATTGAATTGAAAACAGTAAAATGAAACCTTTTAGGCTTATAAAAAAATTAGGCCTGTTTTGGTTCAAAAATTAAATTGACAGAAATTCAGTAGTACTGTTTTATAGGGGGGGGGGGGGGCATACTCACACAGTTGTAGCAGTGATCATGTTTATTACATGCAGATCTAAACTTTTCCTTGAAGAAAAAATCAATGCCCAGTGGAACTGAGCATCCATTAACCCAGCCTTCTATTGAATCATTACATGTCTGACTGCTAGCAATCCCAAATAACACGCAGGTCAAAAGCACAAACGATATCAATTCGTAACCTTAAATTCTTCCTGAAATACACAAAGGACAAAACCGGACATGTTGCATCTATTTAATTCACACTTGCACTTTGTGATGGTATAATGGAAATGATTCTGCGCTATGTAGTCTTTATTCTGAACATTTTTTGAAGATCTAACAACTATTCAAATACTGGAAATACTGACCTGCATTGCTGAATTCGAAGACTTTTACGTCACCTGTGAAGAAGTCGGCAGCGTATACAAGGATAATTTAGTGTGTGTATGTAGAAATAATGATAATAAAAACACTAAAACAATGAACAGAGAGTGACACTTTGGCCATAAAGTACACATAATGAAGCAATAGGCATTACCAATTCACGACAATAAAGAGTGAATGAAGTTGATAGACATGGATCGATCCATTCACTCCTTTTTGAGAAATATTTCTGTGTCCTCTAGTTAATATTTGAAAAGAAAAATTCTTCACTTGAATTGTTCAGTTATGATTATACTTCGTAAACTAATATTCTTTGAATTTGTATTTTGACAGGAATTACATTCGTGCGAAAATCGATGTTTTATGTCTAAGGTAATTTCTTTAGAATTTCCATGGGTTTTGGTTTTAATGCTATAGAACGCAAATATTTGCTACAAATCGCTCATAAATGTAAATATAAGTAATAAGGTTTCATTTTTAGCTCACTTCGACGAAGTCGAGATGAGCTTATGCTATACCCCCGGCGTTGGCGTCCCAGTTAAAGTTTTAGGAGCAAGTCCATTCTCAAGTAACTATAAGCCCTACCTGGACCAAACTTGCATGGATGATGCATCTAGGGATGGACACTACCACACTTGCTTCGGATGCTGGATCTGACCTAGATTTTCCAGATGAGTGATTAGGTTAATGTTTTTGGAGCAGGTATATTCCCAAGTAATTTTAAGCCTTACCTTGACCAAACTTGCATGGATGATGCATCCAGGGATTGACACTACCACACCAATGCTTCTGATGCTGGATCTGACCTACATTTTCCAGATGAGTGACCAGGTTAAAGTTTTTGGATCAGGTACTTAACTTTAAGCCCTACCTGGACCAAACTTGCATGGATGATGTATCTAGGGATGGACACTACAACACTTGCTTCTGATGCTGGATCTGACCTACATTTTCCAGATGAGTGACCAGGTTAAAGTTTTTGGATCAGGTACTTAACTTTAAGCCCTACCTGGACCAAACTTGCATGGATGATGCATCTAGGGATGGACACTACCACACTTGTTTCGGATGCTGGGTCTGACCTAGATTTTCATGATGAGTGACCAGATTAAAGTTTTTGGAGCAAGTCCATTGCCAAGTAACTATAAGCCCTACCTGGACCAAACTTGCATGGATGATACATCTAGGGATAGACACTATTACACTTGCTTCAGATACTCGATCTGGCCTAGATCTTCAAGGTGAGTGACCAGGTTAAAGTTTTTGGAGCAGGTCCATTCCCAAGGAACTTTAAGCCCTACCTGAACTAAACTTGCATGGATGATGCATCTAGGGTTGTACACTAAATATCCTGCTTCGGATTCGGGATCTGACCTAGATTTTCCACATGAGTGAATTTTAGCCATATTTTAACCAAATTAGCATGGATGATGGTATCTAGGGATGGACACTTCCAGACTTGCTTTGGATTCTGAATCTGATATATTGATGGAAATTGATCTTGGGATTTACACTAAGTAGGAAAAAATATGATGTGAGATTTGCCTTACTTACAGATAACATTCGTCGAGGTGAGCTTATTAGTAATCTTTTGATTACCTATGTTTAAACATTCATCGGGATTTAAATACGGGTTGATACTTGATCAAATCTACCATAAACAGCCTGAAGGGCTTTATGTGATTTGATCACGTGACCAACCCGTATTTACATCCCTATAAAAGTTTAAATATGATAGCTAATTTCTTTATCAAATACGCATATGTCATATGGCTTTGTTCAAATAGTGTTACATGTATCATGTATATAAGGGGAAACATTTGCAAATGTTAATATTATGAACGTCCCTGGTGTAATAGAAATTGGTATTGGAGTATGGTATAAACAAACATGTTTTATGTAAAATTGATTTTATTGTCTTGAAATATCTACATTAAAATCTAGATAAAATATTTTCTCATATAGATTTTTTAAAAATCGGGATCGACATTCCAAGCCACTTGCACTTTGACCGCAGCTATGGCGAGCTCCATAATCAACAATGTGCTTGGCAGAGACGCCTCGGCATATTTTGCAACGTTTGGACTTGTTGCAGCATCCTATTTAGCGCTTAAAGTTGCTTTAAATGTTATTAAATCCTTGAAATCCGTTGTATTTGCTGGGTCTACAAATTTCAAGAAATTAGGATCATGGGCAGGTAACCATGTATTTACTTTAGTTTAGGCCTTACTTATTCAAGGCCGGATTAGGACACATTGGGTGCAGCCGCATTTCTCATTTTAAGAAAAGATCAGTTTGAAACAAAACAAATTCATTTTTTATCTGTTTAAGTAATGCAGCTAAATTTTGTTTATTTAATGAAGAAATGTGTCAAAAGATCCTTACAACATTGGTCGTGTTATTGACACATTTCAAAGGAATTTACCACTTCCTTAAGTTTGTCAGGAAAGGGAAATGGCAACTTGCGTATAGAAACATTCTTATCAATTGCATATAAGCAAGTCCTGAAGTGAGGCTCAAAAAACTATCGGCACAAGCGACAAGGTCACTGAGTGGGTTGGCCAAAATGGATCTGATTTAAAAAAAAAAAAAAAAACATAGATAACAACTAGCATGTATTTACAGTCCACTGAAAGACAGGATTAAAGTAATTATAATCTGTGATAATACAAAGTTATTAGTATAGTTAAACATCACAGATATAAAACCTTTCATTGGAAATTCGTGCCTTTTTATTAATTTGTTTCCCTGTACCTTTTTTTAATTTAGTGGACAAAATGGGGTCCACGTAAATGAAATTTTATCATCCCAATAAAGGATTGTTGCACACCAGGTTTACATGTAATTGCACTATGTGTCTGCAAAGTGTTCATTTAAGATAGCATGCAGTTCATTCATGGAAATTATAATTTTCATAAAATTAATATTGTATATTGCCTCTTGTTAAACAATGTACCTGTGTAGGTTATTTTAAGACACTCTTGCAGGTTACATTACAAAAAAAATTCTCTTGTTGTGTCATCCATTATCACTTGAAAGCAATGTAGCTCTTCAAAATTATTACAAAAAAGTGGGAAAATTGGTCTTGCCTTAATTGAGAAAACATTTGCAGTACCTATCAGTTTTCTGTAAGGCAGACATAATATTCTGAAAAACTGACAATAAAGCATATAATGAAACATTTAAACATTTTAATGAAAGTTCTTTCCACTGTTTTTTTCTTTCTTCTTCATTGGCCTTCCTCCGTTTCTTCTTTTTTTATACTTGTGGTATAAACAATACTCTTTCTTTTCTGATTTAGTCCAGATGCTCATTTAGTAAGCCACTGACCTTCACCTCACAGAATAACAAGGCTTCTCAATTTCTTTTTCCCCTTTTTTTGGAGGGGGGGGGGGGAGGGGCTGTAAACATGAAAAGCACTCTGATAACAAAATATTAAAACAGTAGTGATCATTTCTTTAAGGGTCATGTTACAATTAGTCAGATTTAGCCTAAGATATGGTCTGAAATATAGCAAGGATGAATGACCACATGTTCTACTTATTTGATTTTATGAATATAACTGAACTATAGAAGAAAATGACAGATTTAATTTGAAATGAGGAAATACATGTATAGTTGATATTAAATTAAGGTATAAATATTTTTCCTTCTACAAAATAATGTATTCTTTTTTTTTCTTATCAGTTGTCACAGGTTCAACAGATGGTATTGGAAAAGCTTATGCAAAAGAAGTATGTAATTCTTAAAACATAGACTCTTGAAATCTTAGAGAACCTTTTTTCTCTTAAAATTAAGAAAGGGCAATCTTTATATTTTTAGCTCTACTGGTAAATTCTTATTGATCTTATGGATTGGTATAGTGTAATTGATAATACACTTATTTTTTAGATTTGTTTGTAAGAGGGTCAGGAATTGATATTACACAACTGAAATACTTTCATTTGAAGTGTATGATTAGTGATATGTAATTTATTTTTATTTACAGCTAGCTAAAAGGGGAGTCAATATTGTATTAATAAGTCGTTCAGAAGCAAAACTTCAGGAGGTTGCCAATGAAATAGGTAATCATAGCTAGTGGTGTTCCAGTCATCGATTATAATCGAAAATCAGTCAATTGCTGGCGTAATCCAAGCGCTCGATTACAAAATTTTTATTTCGATTAATCAGTTTATTTTTTATTTTAAATGCGTAATAGTTTTCAAGCCAAATATTCCAGCCCCTACTTATCTGTTACTTTATTTGTGTATCGTAATGGTGCAGAATTGTATTCATACCCTGGTAACAAAGCATGTTCCCGAGTATGGATGTACTTTGGGTTCTACAAAATGAATGAAGGACCTGCTGGACCACCGCAGAAAGTAGTCATTTACCCATTCTTACCATTTTTAATTAAATAAATTAAAAGAACTTGGAAATGTCTGATTATAATAGATAGTTAGTTAGTAACCCGATCATCGATTATGAAATTCATACCGATTCCCATCACTAATCATAACCTTAAAAATTATCATATACAATGGTATGTAACAAATAATATGGTGTGTAAACATATTCAATGATGTATAACATTTACAATGGCATGTATCAAATAATATAGTGTTTATCGAATACAGTACATAGAATTTTTATTTTGTTTTGCAGAAAAAGAGAGCAAAGTTCAAACTAGAATTGTTGTTGCTGACTTCAGTAAAGGTCTGGAATTGTATGATTCCATTAGGGACCAGTTAGCCGGCCTGGAGATTGGAACACTGGGTAAAATGACTACAGTGTATCATTTCCTAGCTGTCATTCTTCTTGAAATGGTTACGGTCCCCTTATTGACAGTTATTCATTGAAAGTAATGATACAACAATGAGATAGTTACCACGACATTTATTTTAAAGACATAAATTTGAAAGTCATTAGGGCTGTCACGGTTCAAAAATATTTCGGGTCTGGTCGGTTCTGTAAATTTTCGGTTCGGTTTCGGGTTTTTCGGTTCGGTTATCTACATCTATTTTATTCCTTAAATTCATGAAATTAACTTGAAAAATCTTTATTTATTATGCTACATTCACCTTGAAAACAAATCTTTACCATATTAATGTCTTGACATTGGTGTTCAGGGCCGACTATTACCTACAGCCTGATCATTCTTGCTGGTTTTGATAATTATCTAATCCTTTCGTGACAAGTGTTTTGTCATAGAATGAAGTAGAATTCAGCTGTGATGTTATTTTATCACTTTCATTGTCATCATTCTTTTGATTTTGACGCCATATTTTTTGTATAAAAACAGATTCTAACATATAAACAAGACCCGAACCGAAATCCGGAAAAATGGAACCAAAACCGAATCAAACAACTTGGACCACGGTTTTCGGTTATTTCGGGGAACCGTGAGAGCCCTAAAAGTCATAAAAAAAATTTTCTTTCTACCTCCTGCAAAGTGTTGCAGAATAGATGGAACAGAAGAAAGATTGCTGTCCATATGTCTTGTCTGTTACCTCTGTACACAAATTTAACATAGACACTAGTGTATCCATCATTCATTGCTATTATTCCACCTTTTTAGGGAACAAAGCTCATATAATTGGTAAAATTTCTCTACATTTTTGTGGCATTTGGGAATTCTACATTGTAACTATATCACAGTTATAAAGTGTTTACTGCTACCTGTATTTGAAATCTCACTGTATTAGTAATGTACAACCATAAGTCATTGTTACTTTTTAAAGTATATATTTTCAACCTTATTTTATTGCATTTATAGAATTTTCCTGTACCCTTTTCAGTGTTTGAAACTCACAATAGAATTAGCTAGACATACAGGACTGACTGCTAGTGAAAGTTGTCAGTCCTGCTAAAACTCAAATAGCCCGAGAAAATAAAAGTCTTTTATATATATGTTTTAGCAATAAAGTGAATGGGGCACGATCACCATAACTGCCATCCCGAACCCTTTGCTTGTTACACTTAGCTACCGATACTATCGGTTGATTTGAGAGATATTTATCAAATATATGAATTTTAATTCATAGCAAATTTTAACACGTACAGCCGGGCGTTGATACGTGCAATTCTGTTCATCTGTGGCAAAATTTGTGCGTCTCGGGCGGTCGGGTGCACATTTTTTTTTCAAAAACTGACCTTTTTCTTTTTGAGAATTTTTAATGAATGTAGGGGAAAAAGGCATGTTGCAGCACTATAGGAATAGATTATAGCATGAGGCCATCTTTAAAATAATGTTTGTTTGCCCTCTCCCTACCCAGGGTAAAAAAAAAAATTGGGGAAAATATTTTCCACAGAAAATTTCAATATCAGTGCGGAATTTTTAAAAATATATTGAAATAAAATTATTAAAAATATATATATATATATGTCGTTTCCTGGAGGTTAAAAAAAGTTTTGAGTCAGGCCATTTTTAGCTAGTCGGTCAGGAGAGAGCAAACAAACAATTTTTTAAAGAGGGCCTGAGCTCCACTATAAACAAAAAAGCCAGGCTATTTAGCTCACCTCAGCCAAAGACATATTAATGATAAGTCATATTAATATGGAAGCATACTCAGGAAGTGTAAATTGAGGTGTTCAAATCATGATCCCCTGGGGTAAGGTAGAGCCACAATAAACTATCAAAGTTTTACATATTAAGATGTAGGGAAAAAAATCTGTTGTTGAACATGCATTCTGAGAGTATTGCATTAGCAATACTAGTCCCCTACCGGCAGGTGTAATCTGGTTCCCATTAAGAATTGAAAATGCCATAATTCCGTCAAAAATTAATGAAGCGGGACGAAATGCAAACTTGATCTATAACTAATCAAGATAAAGCCACATACCAAAAATCAGCTCAATATCTGAAAGAGTTTAGAAGAAAATTGCGGAAAACCCCTAAAAATTGAAAAGGCCGTAATTCCCTCAAAAATCAATGAAGCGGAACGAAATGCAGACTTAATCTGTAACTCATCAAGATACACTCACATACCAAAAACCAGCTCAATATCTGCAAGCGTTTAGGAAAAAAGTGCAGAAAACCAAGTGGGACAGACAGACAGAGGGACAGACAGACGGACGGATAGACTCGGAGGAAACCTATAGTCCCCTCCGGTTTCACCGGTAGGGGACTAATAACAGTAAGGCCATAATGACTCAGGTGAGCATTCTGGCCTATCAGCCTCTTGTTTTATACAAACATTTTCATCCAACTCCTTCTTCACAAATATGATATTGGATAATGTACTAGTTTACTATCATGAAATCTTTTTATGAACAATTTAATTTCAACTTGCTGTTAAATCCTGTTATTGAGTATGTACGTATTAAGTACATCATAGTATACATTCACGTATTTTAAAATTTTAAAGTATCCTTTTTTGTCTAATTGCAGTAAACAATGTAGGGATGTCATATTCTTTTCCAAACTACTTTTTGGATTTACCTGATAGAGAAGAGGTAAGAGAAAAGACAGAAATTAATCTACTTTAATTTTGACTGTCTCTTTAAAAATTAAAACCTTCGAATATTATGTAAGTTTATTTGAGAGCTGCAGACTAAGAACATTTTACTGTTAAATCATAAATTAGGGACCATGCTCTGCAAGTGCCCTTTAGCCTGTTTAGTAATCAGTATGTCCATCCACTTTATCCATCTGTCTGATTTTACTTCTCTCTTTCTGCTTGGCCCAATTTTGCTTATACAAAGTGCTCACTGTAAGTGTGCATTAAACTTGATAAAAATTTCAGGAGAAAAGATCAAGGTTAAACCAGGTCTCATTGGAAAATCTTTGTCCTCTGCACATTCTTCCTCCCCTTACAATTTCTGGTTCACTTAACACACACAATATCCTTGGGTAAAGGGTGTGCAATGACCTTATTATATGTTTATATTATGTCAATTTCACTCAGATAGTCTAGACAAATAATCGGGGGCTTTAGCTTCACATAATTATGAGAAAATAAAATTCTCATAAATAAAAAGTAATTTACAGTAGTTGGTATGACAGAGCAATAGTTGAATACTGGAATACTTGGTAACATCTTTAGTCTATTTGTAAAAGGTCAAGGTCAGAAAAGATCTCTGGGTGATTCTGTGTAAAACCCTTGCTTGGAGCATATAGTCTATCTCCTTGGTCCAGTTTTGTTATACTTCTTGCACAGAGTGCATATGGGCAAAGTGATCATGATCCAAGTTTGTAAGGTTAAGCAGATCTCTGTATAAAATCCTTTTTTCTATCCCCTTGGCCCAATCTTGCTCATACTTCATCAAAAGTGTGACCATGGGTAAAGAGTTTGTATTGACCTTGATCAAACTTTGTACATGTAGGTGAGAGCTCAAGGTCAAAGTACTGTAGTTCTTTATGGAGAACATATTTTTCTATCCTGGGACCAATTTTGTTCATACTTCACAGTGACCTTGATAAAAGTTCCTATAACAAAGGTCAACATAAAAAAAGTCTCCATTTAAAATCCTTGTCCAGAACATTTTCCTATTCTTCTTTCCCATTCTGCCTCATATGTCACTTAAAGGTGCCCTTTAGTCTCCTTACACAAGGACAAAAGCCTTTGAGCATGAAAAGTTCTCTCAAATAATAAAAGTACCTTTACCATCATGTCCTTGATATTTATTAAAAGCTGGGTCCTTTGAAATGTTCACCATCTTAATGATACAAAGGTTTTCTGTCGTATAAAAGTAAAGCAAATTTTTCTCATTATTGATATTATCTATTCATTTCCTATTCTTTTTTTTTTCTTCCAGTTTTTTATGAAAATGATCAACATCAATGTAACATCTGTGACCATGGTATGTTATATTGTCTTCCACAATACATACACAATATTAAATATAAGCAATATATTTGTTAAAGGATAAGTATATGTAAAAATATGATATTTGTCTCAATCTATTTTCTTTGATGAAGGATTGTAAAAAAAAAAATAAATAAATAAATAAATAAAAAAGAAAAGAAAAAACCAAAAAGAAGAAAAAAACAATCTCAGCCAATTAACATGCTGAATTTTAAAGCGTTGTCAGTGGATATAAAATGTCAAGATTTTTTGAGGCTTTACTGCAATAATTAAGATAGCTACCTTATAAATGTCTAATCCTGTACCTTTTTCACTTCAGTGATTCTTTTTCCTGTGACTTATTGTAGATGACTAGTATTGTGATGCCTGGTATGGTGGAGAGAAGGAAAGGTGCTGTCATAAACCTGTCCTCTGCTGCTGGACTGACCCCCACTCCTCTGCTCACCGTGTACTCTGCCTGCAAGGTTAGTGACCTATAATTATCAGTCTCTCCTCAGTGAAAGACTGAACCCCCTTCCTCTATTCTCAGTGTTCTGTGCCTGTAAGGTAAGTGACTTAAGATAATCAATGTGTCCATTGCTGCAGGACTGAGCCCTGCAACTCTGCTCACAATTAAGGTGAATGGCCTACTAGTAAGTATATCCTCAGCGGTGGGAATGGCCCTACTCCTCTACTCACAATTCTGTATTCTGCCTGTAAGCTAAGTGACTTATCATTTTCAGTCTGTTCTATGCTGCAGGGCTTAAAACCACCCTCCTGCTCCTCTTGAAGTAAAGGTAACCTATAATTATCAGTCTGTCCTATGATGCAGGACTGATCCCCTTTCCCCTGCTCCTCTTGAAGAATGGGGGATCTATATCAGTTTGTCCTCAGCTATGGGACCGAGTCCTGCTCCATACGATCTGTAAGGAGCTGTATTCTTTACTATAAAATAGGTCATTTTCTTTCCCAGTCAATCCAAACCTTATAAAGTTGAAAAAAAGATTTCAAAAAAAAAAAAGAATTGATGTCCTGTTGATTTATATTTTTGGAAAGAAATATTATATTACATATACATGTATTACATTATTACAGTAAATGACTGAATGTCATATACCATAATTGGATTTTGTGTAGAATCAATTTTGTAGATGCATGTAAAAGATGAAAGGTTTTGCTCTTAAATATGTGATTAAATAGAAATTAAACAGTGTTCTTCATAATAATACATTACAATTTGGTTATTATGATACAGGTCTAATATAATACTTTAATTATTATAGTTCATGTACATACAGTATGTATATTATTTATATGTAAATGTGTTGACTGCTGAACATTCATGTACACTGTATTTACTTGTTTGCAGGCTTATGTGACATTCTTCTCCAGGTGTATACAGGATGAATATGGATCCAAGGGAATTTTTTGTCAGGTAGGTGCAAATGCTTTATTTTGTATGTTGTCCCTTGAGTTCAGAAAATGCACTTACCTGAGTGAATAAAATGTTTGCATCAATCAGATTTGTATTTATGTTGGGAGATTCAGATACTAGTACTATTAAATCACTTTAACAGAGATTCTTTCAATTCATCACCTGACCTTAATATATATGTACATAACATTTGTTGAAATTGAGTGAGAATGCCATCATATTCATGAATGTTTTTTAAATGTTTTTTTTTTTTTTTTTGCACTTTAGATTTTAAAAATTATGAAAGAACTTCATCTGGCCCAGGTTTTCAAATGTCTTTTAAAATTAAGGAGATCCCCTATACCTTCTTTTGTGACCACAACAGAATAAACATCTGAGCAACTACAGACTGAGTATTGAGCCAAAAGCAAACATAAATCAAATTTCCTGTATTTAATTCTGTCCTGGAAGCTACATGTAGAATTGCTTCCAAGATAAAATTTGGGGTTTTGAGAATCAACTTCAATGCAAAAGTGCATGTAAAACATTCTGTAAATGTTGAAAATGAGAACATTTGGAAATGATGAAAATTTGAATAATTTTATTTAAAAAATTCATTTGTCAACTTTCTAACCTTTGTTAAAGAACTATGTTATTTACAAGTAAACTATCAAGGTTTCCTCTTACCAACTTAGAAAACTGTGAAACATTCAATCCTTCAATATAACTATGTTTACAATAATGCAGTTGTATCTTACTTTGTTGAATTGCATTAAAATTGTGTGAATTGATCCTGTCCAACTCACAAACATGTACTGTACTTTGTACAAATCTTTGCAGTGTGTGATGCCATATTTTGTTGCTACAAAGATGTCCAAGATCAGGAAACCCTCTTTATTTGCACCTAGTCCCACCACCTATGTGAAAGCTGCCCTGAATTCTGTTGGCGTATCAGATGCGACCCATGGCTACTGGGCGCATAACATGCAGGTCTGTATTCTATCCATAAAATGTCACTTAACATGTGCATTATCTCAGTAAATTTTCAGGTAAGTTATATGAAAGGCTAATTATGAGAACTTACTTCAAGCTCTTAAATAAACAAAGCATTAAGTCAGAATTGGTACATGTAGAAGTAAAAAGTCCCAAATGAAATTAGTTTGAAAGAGCATATCTAAGTACCACTTTGTGTTTCATGTAACAGTTAATAAGCATCTGACAAATGATTGTAATTTTGATTGCAAAGTCTGTACACCTCTTTCATATCAACATTTGGTAATACTTAAGTGACATGTTTTGAAGTCTTACTGTGTTTATTTTTTACAGGGCTCAATAACAGGCATATTACCACCAGCATTCTTGAAAATGGTGACTCGCAACATGATGGACAAAGCCAGGAAAGCTTATTTAAAGAAGATGGCAAACAAGAAAGAATAATGTTAATCAAGTCAATAGGATACAAATTTGTAGTTGCTAATTTTTTTTTATAATTCAGTTTCAATAAGCTTCATCTGTTCTTTGCTTAATGTCAGTACCTGTATTTTTTTTTCAGAGGGTCTACATGTATAACATGTTCATAATCTATGCATAAACTCTAAATTCTTCTTTACATTTATGAATTCCAGCATGATGAACTGTCAGTTCAAGTGTTTATTACATGTGTTTATGTTTTGTTAGCTTTTCATTTAGCTTTTTAAAGCCTAGATTTTTAATGTAGAGACAAGGAGAAATCTCTAAAAGTTATGCAATGTAATTTGCTATTAAAAAAATGCATGTTTTAAAATTATAACCACCTTGAAATCCTACAACATTTTCTTGTTAAGCCATTCATAGTCAGTACTAGCTAGTCAGACAGAACATGTATTTACTGAATAAGATAAGGTCTTAAAAAAAATATTTATTTTAAATTTTTCTCTTCTGTATTTATTTTTTGATTTCTGGACCATCATCCAATTATATATGATGCAAGCCAACTGTATAAATTTAATAAAGTCAATTGAAAACTTCATGCTCTTATTTTCATGAAGTTCCTTAGATGTTGGATGTATCTTTGCATTAGAAAGAAGATGGGCGAACAAGGCGAGCAAAATGCCTATAGTGGAACAAACATGAATATGAAAAATTCAATCTTATTTTAGATATAACAAAATTTTCTTGGATATTTCATCTAATATTGTAAACTTTATGTAAAATCTCCATAATTTGCAAAAATCTCACAAAGACTGAAATTATTTGCATATGAAATAGCATACACGCACTGAAGAGGACAAAAAGGATCATTTTCTCATCCTATAACAATTTTTCATTATGAGTGGATCTTCGCTGCAATTTTTTTTTTTTTTGAAAGTTTATAAAGTTTGCATAAAAAAAAGTTTGGTTGAAAAAAACATGGAGCTAAGACCCATTATATCTTAAATACACTTTTATGACACAACATTCATGTTTTTCTGAGAAATACACACATGTACTTGAAGTCCATTTAGTCAAGGGTCCTATCGCAAACATGATTTAAATGCCAATATTCATCAAGAGTTGTGTAGCATAGTGCTTAGTGTGTTAGTCTCAAAGGAAAATGATACTCTGGATTTTATTGCTAGGCGGGTTTGAACAACATGAGTACCACATTATTTTTTAAACACAGAATAATTATTGCTGAGAAAATTTTCCTCAGAAAAGTTTGTCTATCATAATATCATAAATTGCAATAATGAGAACTTTACTTTAAATACTTAATTCACAAAATAAATATGATTTTTAAATATCTGAATCTATAGGCAAGTATCTGTAAATTTTATTTAGTGGTATAGGAGTAGTTGCGGATAAGAGATTGGTACCCCTCGATATTATTGAAAAATGGCAGTGTCTCTGTTTTGCTACTGGAAACCCGAAATATGTGCCCAATCAAATAGTAAAATAGAAGGTGCACAATGGCACATTTATTAAATTAATACTTCGGATTTAGTTACATTCAAAGAAGAATGAATCAAGAAATCATAGGAAAAATTTTCTTTTCCACTTGTATTTTGATTAATAGGTTACCAAAATTATATTCGATTATCTATAATCGGGGGCCATTTCGATTAGATAATCGATTAATCGGTACATCACTATTGATTTCTTTTTTTTCCTTCTGCTTTGTGGCTGGGATGAGACCCCTACCAAAATGTCAGAAAATGCATTTTTTTCCAGGCACGTATAATATCGAGGGGGGGGGGGGGGAGGGGCTGCCCCCTCCCCTCTGCACTTTTTTCCATACATTACTTTTTACTATTGAAAATGTTCATTGAAAGGCTGGTTGCCCAACCACCCCTACTTATTGTTCTAGCATACTAGTTAAATGATGGTAATTTGGTAATGTATTAATAAAATTTGGCTGTGAAAGGAAGCCCATCCACCCCCGAAATAGGATTTTCGAGTTTCGCAGTATTATTTATTAGGCCAAAGTTTTTATTTTTTTTGGTTTACGATTTTCTGTCTCCAAAAAATGCATTGGGTGGTCGAAAAATAAAAATAAAAATAATTTAGGATTCAACAATTTCATTTTAAAATACCAGTAATGTTTATTTTAATGAAAATAATACATGTCAATAGTACTTTTAAGTTCTATTGTCTAGATCACATAACTCTTTTTATTTAATTTTAATTCATTTCTAACTTTAGACTGAATGTCATTTTCATTTAGTTCTGATTTTTGTTTATCAATCAGTGCTTGGTTCATGATGTTCAACTTCTTTTTGTGCTCTTCAGTGATATGTGATGTGTTATAAACCTCAGTATCCCCACAAACTAAAAATAAGGATCCAAATTTAAGTTAAATTTAGATTGAAGAAAAATACAATTTAATTGTTTAACAATATTGAAAGTAATTAACGTTGAAATAAAAGTTATAATAATTTGATCATGCAGCTATCAAATTTAATGTTCCAATAATTTCTCAATCAAGTCCTTCTTCAAATTTTGTTATGTACCTGCACAGTAGGCAATGCTCATTATTTACTTTATAGTAATTCAGAGGGCTCTGATCTCAATTGAGTATCAAATTTGCAAAGATTTGTATATTAAAATTACTTCTATAAATTAACAAAATGTTTTATACACATTTGAATTTATCCAGTGAAATACCAGTCAGCTTTACTTCAACTAAGATGTATCTCTCAACACTAAATTGGCTTCACTATTATCCATGGATTTATCAGCCTATGATTTTGGGAAACATCATTTTTAGGGAATTGGGAACAATTATCGGCTATTTGATGAAATTGGAAAATTTTTTAAAATGTTGCTTAAATCATGTATTCAGGGGTAATTCATTTAACATTTCAGCATGAACTCTAATTTGGGCAACCAAATGACAATTAAATATGATCCATCTTCATCATACCATGATACAAGATCAATTATGAATAATAGACTAATAAAGGTAAAATGGACTTCAATGAGTATAAAGTATTTTTACAACTTAGGGTAGTACATGTACATGTGTGTATGAGATTTCAATTTAGGTCATTATAGTATCTGTTTCTGGAGATTATAAACCTCCTGCAAAAATTATACTAAGTACACATTTTCTAAAAGTCCTCTTCACTTGCAGATCAATAGAGTAGGTGGAAATAGCTTAATAAATCTATATAATTACACAATATCATCATTTTTAGAAAAACGGAGGAAATTCGGATTAAAAGTTGGCGATGTTTTTTCAGTGTTTTTAAACATGTGTTATGACTGTAGCTTTGCTAAATGAGTTAAATAGATGAAAATTACAGACAATCTGACAATTTTACTTTTTTCCAAAGATAATTAAAAATAAAAGCATTGTTCACCAATTGGGAAAAATACTGCCAAATTGGAAAAACTGAACTCATTTTCAATTGGGAATGAGGACGAATTTCGGCCCATGAGAAGGCACTGATAAATCCCTTTTATCTATAGGTGTATCCGTGTCTGCTAGGTCGATCAGGGTTGGGCTCCAATATTACGGTATGAATTTAGCCAATTGAGACATCGCAGTTAGAGAAAGGGATCATGCATCCAAGATTTTATTCACTTTTCCATGCAGAAAAAAGTTCTTTAAGTGTGTGTCATTGCTTTCAGTGAGGAATTACCTTGTTACATGACAGAACCGCCATTTTTGGTTTGCACATGTGTTTATTTACGGTCACCTAAATGTTTGCTAAAGGGCTCATATATTTATAAGCGCTTATTTGACTAAGATGCATTCTAAAATTTAAAACCCACCAGTTTAGCTGAGAAAAATCCGGAAAAATATTTCGGAAAAAGACATTATTTTTATTTTCATGATTGGTGAAAATTAGGGTCGGCGGAATCGTAAACCAATTGAAAAAAAAACTTTGGCCTTACATGTATATAATAACCCTAAAGCGCTTAACATGTAAAAACAAGCTCAGTGTAAAACATGTAAAAGAAGAACATTAAATGAATAAAAAAGACATACAAATAATAGCAGACTAAAGCTAGCGCAAATATTAAAGGATTTTTTATGTCAGGTGTCTAGGGTTGAGCTCACCAACGATAAATAGGCTGCTTTTCGACAATCAGGAGGGAAATGAAATTGGGGCGTTCATATTCGTACTTGGGCGCTGGTAAAAATCTTTGGGGCGCTCATGCATGCATGGGGCGTTCTGGTTTTGGGGCGCAGTGACTAGCACCCCCCCCCCCCTCCATAGCGCCTTCTAACGCAAAATACTAGATCCGCGCCTTACTCTTATTAGGCCCCGAAACGCCACTGTCCCGAAACGTCGGACAGCCATTGATCCACCGCAGCATGAGCTCCTTAATCAACAGAGTGTTTGGCGGAGACGCCTCTGCAACGTTTGGACTTGTTGCAGGGTCGTAGTTAGCACTTAAAGTTGTTTTTAAAGTGATCAAAGTCTTGAAATCCCTCGTTTTTGCTGGGTCTACAAATTTCAAGAAACTAGGATCATGGGCAGGTAACGATACTATATATATCTGTGTATATATATATATATATATATACATATGTTATATAACACTTTAAATAGCAACCGGTTTTCAGTAGCGTTGACCATGTTCTCCTTAAAACATGTAGTTGTTCTAGAAGTCCAAAATTTACCTTAAATAGCGGAGTACCACAGATGCTTGGGGACGGACCCCCCCCCCCCCCCCCCCGGGGTTCTTCAACTTGTTCTAATAAAACACTTTTAAATTTTCTATGACACATTTACAAAGTATTAAAAAAATCAAAAACACAACCTAAAACTAATCAAATTAACCTTTTATATTATTCTTAGTATTGTGGCAAATTTTATTAGCCCCCCCCCCCCCCCCCACAATTTCTTTCAGAATATATTTTAGCTTCAATCATTCAATTCTTTAAGAATGCAGGCTTGAAATTGACAATAATCATTTATATTTTTGCCATTTGTTGTAATATACATGTAAATCAACAGATGCATTTATAAAAGGGCAATGTTTTAATTAAAAGTATGATATTTTTGAGCTTCTTACTGGATACAGGGTCTCAAATGTTGTAAAACATTCAACTTCTATTAGTAAATGCAAAAGATGACTAGTGTGAGTCAGCAAGACCTAAAAGATTTGTAGCAAATTGATCAGTCATAATAAGCCATATACGAAGGTTGTTCGGAAAGTTTGTGGACTACTATGGCACGCCTAATTCACAAAAAATAGATAAACACAGTTTAACAGTTGATAAACTAGGTTTGTCGATTGTAAACTATAGTTTACGAACCGTTAACTATAGTTAACGATTCGTTAACTATAGTTTTCATATGTAAACTATATTTAACGGTTGTATAGAGTAGTTTACGAATGCTAATCTAAGTTTATCTGTCTGTAAATAAACGTTAACAATAAATTTTACTGATAAATATAGATTCTCATTTGTAAACTATAATTTACATTCGTTAACCATAGTTAAGAGTTGTTAATCATATTTCACAAATCGTGAAACTATATTTATCAGATAAACTATGTTTTACATCGATAATCATAGATTTCGGTCGTA